CAAAATAGCAAAACTCCATATAAATCGCTATTTTGTCTGAGCCGGTAAAATAACACCGAAGAGGCTATTTTGCCGGACATGATATTATGATATCGCAATCAAGGCAATTCCATGTGTATCCTACCAAAAATGTTATATGTATCATAAAAGTTAAATTAGTTTAAGGGACGATCATTTGATTCTGGGGTTGGGGTCGTTTTTGTGTCACCTTTCCGACAAGCAGAAAATAAATATTCTGGTACTGGTCTGAGTGAAAATAAATAATCTAGTCGCCTTTAAGTTTGAAATAAATATTCTGACCTCATCAAGTTTGCCAGGGCCCCCTCAGAATTAAATGGGCAAAACAAATCTACTAAAATCCCTGGAAGATTAAAAGCTAGCTTTAGAACGTAATGAATATCTGGCTGCTATTCTCATGTCAAAAGCGTTTGACTGCGTATCCCATGACATTATTATTAGTAAACTGTCTTCCTATGGCCTATCAGATAATGCTACTATGTTATTATTATCATATCTGTCAATCAGAATCCAACAGATAGAAATAACAGGCATTGTTAGTAGCTTGGCAAATGTACAGAAAGATGTGCCCCAAGGATCAATATTGGACCCGCTACTTTTAAATATTTTCATTAACGATTTTTTTTTCTTAAAAAGGGTAACTTATACAACTATGCTGTCGACAGTACTTCGTATTTCAATTTTCCAAATTAGGACGATCTTATAATTACTAGTTTTAGAATCTGAGAGCAATGTTTTGATTGACAGGTTTTATTTCAATTGTATGCAGGCAAATCGATCATGAAAAATTCCAGGCTATTATTGCTATTGGTAAAAAGTCAGCGGATAAAACTTCTTTTAAAATTGGAAATACTGATATATCTTGTGAACAATCAAGCTTTTGGGTGCAGTTATACATTTTATGCTAAATTTTGATGACCATATTAAAACCATATGTTCGGTTGCCAACACTAAGAAGATAGAAAACAATCATTACGATTTGTATATTGTGATTATGTCTTTACAAGTGAACAGCTTTCAGTCAAGGCAAAAATACCTAGCTGACATATTAGAATGATAAGAACCATGGCCCTGGAGACTTACAAACTTTTACAAGATTTTGGTCCCATCTGTTGAACAGACTTAATTTATAAACAAGACTATAGATATAATTTCAAATATCTAATCTTTTACAGATACCACAACAGGTGCGGATCCAGGATTTTGACGTTTTGAGTGATACTTGTAAAAAGTCAATGTCTTTATCATATATAAAGTTCCATAAAAGGAGGCCTAGACTCCCTGTCCCCCATAAATCCGCCTCTGCACAAGTGAGAACAACAAGGTATGGTTAACTACCTTTTAGGTATGCTGCTACATTTCTATGGAACTCTCTCCCCGAAGAATTCATACGGTGCTTAAATTTAAATCAATTCAAGTCCATGATCTCGTGCCAAAGTGGTAAAGCATGTTCCTGTGTTGCCTGCAGATATTGACCACACTTTCATCCACACATGTATACTGCACAGCGTAACTTAAAACTATATTTCCTTTGTTTATAAAAATAAGTAGATGTATTGCTGTGTGTTTGTTTTTTCTACATTGGCTGGAGGTATAGGGGAGGGTTGATATCTCAAAAAAACATGTTTAACCCAGCCGCATTTTTGCGCCTGTCCCAAGTCAGGAGTCCCTGGCCTTTGTTAGTCTTGTATGATTTTTAATTTCAGTTTCTTTTATATGTTTCGGAGTTTAGTATGACGTCCATTATTACTGAACTAGTACATATTTTTGTTTTAGGGGCCAGCTGAAGCACGCCTCCGGGTGCGGGATAATCTCGCTGTATTGAAGACCCATTGGTAGCCTTCGGCTGTTTTCTGCTCTTTGGTCGGGTTGTTGTCTCTTTGACACATTCCCCATTTCCATTCTCAATTTTATGTGGTATGATTCCAAATAAGTTAACTATGCACTAAAGTTCAGATGAAGTGGAAGTAATCAATTATAGGCAACCGTACGGCCTTCAACAATGAGAAAAACACATACCGTATAGTCGGCTATAGAAGACGCCGACATGAAAAATATGAAACAATTCAATTGAGATAACAAACGGCCTAATGATATCAAAACAATTTTACGAATAAAAAATATGACAGTCATGAACAACGACTTGTAATTTTTTGTAAATACCAATGTTTTACTATGTTTTGAGGGTCTGGGTAGGGTTTACAGATTAGAGAATATTTGACAAAAAGTACAGTATAAAGGGCACAAAAAAATGAAAAATAGAGAAAATTAGGCACACAATTTAAGAATAGAGAATCATGAGGTGCTAAAATATAAAGAATAGAGAAAAATTTAAGTTATAATTTCTGTTATAGTATGACAAAGAGCAGACACAATCAATGATATTTATACTATTATATGGTTTTTTTTTCTTTGTTGTTTGTAAGACTATTTTCTTAAAGGAGTCGGTTGGTACCGTTAAAGTCTTTTTTCCAAATTCATTGGACCCTTTTAAACCAAGTGTGATATGTTTCTTGTGAACAGCCTCCCGACTCTGTGATTTTATTTTGCCAATTCAACTGCATTCGACATTTGATATAAAATAAGGAGATGTTCAGGGGCGGATCCAGCCATTTATAAAAGGGGGGATGTTCCTAATCCAGGATAAAGGGGGTTCCAACTAAATGTCCCCATTCAAATGCATTGATCGTAAAAAAAGGGGGGGTTTCAACCCCCGGACCCCCCCCCCCCCCCTCCCCACTTGGATCCGCCACTGATGTGGTATGATTGTCACCAAGACAACTATCCAACATAGTCCAAATAACGTAGATTTAAGCAATTGAGAGTTTATAAGACATACATATTTTTGTGAAAACATCTTCAGATTTGTTAGTCCAGATGAAAAATTTAAAACTGGATTAAATCTTCTAAAATATTTGTAAATGGTACTGTCTGAGTGCAATGTACTTAAAATGATTAGTTTTCTCAACAAGCACCGTCCTGAATATTCATGTAATATTTGCTACTGGATGGTAAAAACAATCAATCAATGGACCAATGGAACAACCTCAGCACATACGATATGACGTACATGTGATTTATAGAGGCATGGTAACTGTAAAATATTGAGCACAATCTTTACTGATAAAATTTTAATTTGATACCATATCCTTTTTGACTTTCATGCATTGAAACGTTCCATATTTTTGACTTCCCAAAGGTTTTGTTTACAGCATACCTGACGGAGGTTATTAAAAAAAGCACCCGTCGTATGCACGGAAATGTATATAAATGTATGTCTAATCTTACCAATTTTGACCATTTAAGTAAAATGAGTATACATTGTTTAACCAGACAATCTGTATTAATCAAAGGAAATAATTATCAAAATCGAGTGGAATTGCCGCCACAAAATTACAAGACACCAACTACAAAGCGGCCACTTAATTTGACGAACCTAAGAGTTAGTGTGATGATAGAATCACTAAACTCCAAATGTTTTCAGGGTGAAATCAGGATACAATCTTTATTATTTTTGAATGTTATATACGTTTTTATAATAATCATACAAACAATAAAAATTAAATGGACTAGAATGTGATCCATCTCCTTATTTTGTACAATAAGCGCTAATCGTCAACCCATTCTGGTTAGATAGTGAACGAAACCTCTGAAAGTAAGAGGGTTCAAATATGCTATGACTTCTTCTTTACAATGTTTTTTAAGGGTAAAAAAACTCCTAATTATGTGTACATTTTAAAAATACTTTCTTGTATATTTTACCGAGTGAAAAGGATTAGAGAAATCCAGTATCGCAACTACTTAGAAACGTAGAATGGTAGTTTTTTTTTTTCAAATAAAAAAGTCCCTAGGGTACAGTATAACAAAAATGTAAATCGGAAGATAGACAACAATCAATCTCAAAACATATTAATACAATTTACTGTACCTGATGACAATTTTTTTTTCAGACAAATGTGTCGTACATTGATATTACCAGTTTTAACAGTATCATAAACCACATAGATAGATGATCGCTGCATACAAGGAAGATATAAAACCAAGAGTTCCAAGTGGTGAAGTTGAAATCATCCCTTCGAAAATTTTACGGACGCTATCACGAGTTGGTCGACCGTTATGGAATATCTGTTTCACAGATGGCGACGGATATGTCCCAATTGTCGTAACCACAATCCTTCCTAGGCCTCTTTCCCTAGAATGTGACCTACCGAATTATAATTATCAAAGAATTTGTACTTACACGAACAACACGACGGGTGCCACATGTGGAGCAAGATCTGCTTATCCTTCCGGAGCAACTGAAATTACAGCAGGTTTTTGGTGGGTTCGTGTTTTTTTTGCCATTGCATTGTCAGTTTGTTTTCGACTTAGGAGTTTGAATATCGCTTTGATATATTTCGCCTTTCTTGTCCTTTAAGTGCATGGCAGCTGTTTCAACATGGACTGTCAAAGGTTTTTTTTCTCGAAATTAAATGGCTATTTGTAATGATATAGACAAACCATTTTGGTATTTATTTTAACATCTACTCGTTCTTTCTAAAGCATTTTGCAAGGTGTGTATAGAACACCGTTTTCATAGGAAACTTATATTAGAGTGCTTTAAAAGGATAGTTTACGAATAGCATAACTTTTGGTTCTTTCAAGTTATCTTATATAATAGATGTTTCGATCATTAAAAAGGCGAATGAAGTAAAGGTGCTCAATATCGATTTGAGCATATGGACTTGTCTAAAGTTCAGATATATAGCCCGCTATCGTCTACGTGCATTAAAAAAGCGTGTATCACCACAATCCAACGTAGCCCGAAATGAGTCTTCGTGCATTTCTCTAGAAAAAAAACCGTGTACCCCTACCTTCCAACGGGCATCAAAAGCGATCCGTTATAAAGTATTTTGTTAACTCTGTAACAAGTAATAAATTGGCATTCTCTTGTTAAATGCTGCTTATACAACATTGGAATAACTGTTGCCCACCTTGAAGAATATTTTTAGATAAATTTATTACAAAAAAGACGATAACAATTAAATAAATATAAGAAAAACTTATAAAATGAATTTACCTTTAAACAGGTATAAATTTTTTCGACTAACTACTAAAACAAGTGGAATGCAAAACATCGATTTAGACGAAACAATGAAGAAAAACTATGATTAACAAAAACAAGTCTATCAATGACATCTCTTCGGGATTGAGTCGGTTTCTAATAACAAGTTGACTAAACATCAACAATGATATGGGTAACGAAAATAAAATGTAGACATGTAAAAAATAAATATTATGGGTAACGAAAACAAAACGTAGATATGTAAAAATAAAAATAACTATTTCTAATGTATTTCAAACTGTTCAAATTGTCACCATGTTCAATCGTTTGTTTAACGTCTGTAGAACATTTCAAGGTACGTCTGAACATAAAATATGATCTTCAGTTCTTATATAAACCACACTGTTAATTTTCAGGTCCCCGGTATATGTACTAGCTGTAGCATGTTGTAAGTAAATACAACTTTCTTCTACCCACGATCATAAGATTTCGTGTTTATGTCGTTATAAAGAAACCAACATAAGCAACTAACTATCTTCTTGTGCTTGCAATCAATGTTCAAAAACTGCAGTCAGTTTATCAATCATGAATCAGGGGTATCAAAAGACTCGACAAACTGTTTCAATCTATCCTCTTTATCCTTTGCTCCTAATCTTAATTTCTTAATATCTTGTAGTTTAATTGGTCTACGAATTGATGAATCCTGATATTTTCTCACGCATTCTCGAACCTTTTCCATTATTAAATTTTTAAAGCGCAGAGTATTATATTCCGTTAATTGGGTTATCCTTTCAAACGCCAGATGAGAATAATTAAAATTGAAAGTCGAATATGGTCGGTTTGGGTCGTCAAATAATTGGAAATCACCAAACTCTTTTTCTTCATCTGTTTGTCTTGGTACATCTAAAATTGAAATATACATTTTATAAAATATTTAAAAAAAATACCATTTTGATAGAATGAAATTATCAAGAGCATTTTTCAGGACAGTGAAAACAAACATGGTACAATCAATCCACCCATATATTAATTCTCGACCTTTGTAGTATTTTAGTAACTTCAGTACTTCAGAACTATGTTTCCTACAGCTTAACAGCTTAAAAAAAGTTTCTTTTGCATCAATAATGGCTCATAATAAGCAAACACTTTGACCGAACGACACAAAAGTAAAATATTTTTTCTATTTGTAATTGCTTTCAAAATGCCCCTTTATTTTTTATATCCATGAGGGTTACTTTGGGGTAATCATTTCTGTGTTTTTTTAATTTTTTTGTCCATTTTCTCTATTCTTTATATTTTAACGCTTCGTTATTCTCTATTTTTGTGTTTTGCCTATTATTGCTGTAAACACCACCAAGACCCTCGTTTATATCCAACGAATTAAGTTCATTTCAGCACCTTATTTTAGGACAGACATACACAAAATAAAACTCGCCGTGGCTCGTGTGTTATGACGTGGTGTTAACCATCGACAATCAATCTATCAATCACAAAAATACCAACACAAACATTACCTGGTTGCATCTCATTCCTGAAATTTATGTTTGCCAAAACAAAATGTAAGATGGTAGGACATTTCGGATCTTTCCGATCTTCAAACACATAACACTCTTTTACTCCTTCCTTTTCCATTATGTTCACGTCTATTGGTGGAAACGGTACATTGTTCTTTTGAGCCCAGTATTCTGCAATCTTGATTTCCTACAAATTAAAAATTGGCATTTGTAACATTTTTATCTTCCTTCCGTTTTATCAGCTGATTATATGGTTCTTGATATTAGGCCAAGCGAAGTAAATGTATTTACTATATATATATATAAATATTAATTTTCGCGAACCATTTAGGTCACGGAAATTCCATTTTTTGCCATCAGTAAGGAGAGTTGTACAAATAATGTGAATACACAGAACCCCGATCCAATTCATCTTTTGCTAAAAATATTTATCATTTTCTGTTTTATATCTCCTAACATCATTCCATTTTTCTCTTATTTCGATTAAAATATGCCAAAACCTGCAGTAAAAATAGATGTATGCCCCAAATAAACATTCCCCGATTGGTTGAACTACTATGGCGTCAATGTAAAGCAACGCAAGCCTCGATGTAAAGCACACGCTTCCCAAGAGTAAGGAGAGTTGTACAAATAATGTGAATTCATAGACCCCCGATCCAATTTATCTTTTGCTAAAAGTGTTCATCATTTTCATTTGTATCTACCAACAACATTCCATTTTTTTATAATCCCGATTTAAACATGTCGAAACCTGCAGTAAAAATAGATGTATGCCCCAAGTAAACATTCCCCGATTGGTTGAAAAGCTGTGGCCTTGATCTAAAGCAACGCAAGCACACGCGGCAAAAATTTCCGTTGATATGTTGAACTTCGACCCCGGGATTCAGCCGATTCACATAGAGATTTTCTTGCGCTCAAATGTAATTCTAAGTGAAGTATACTGGTAAAGTAAAATTATATTCTTTTACAGAAATATTTACACATTTTATCATTAATGTATTGTCATGCTTCTGCATATTTACACTGAGCTTTAGTAAAATATAATTCTATACAAATTTTGTTACGTCAAGCATTAAGAGTAAGAATATATTTCGCGTCAAAACAAGAAAATAATCTGTGTCACCAAATAGGTTTATCAGCATCTTTCTCAAATTTTCCAACAGAAATAGCGTTAATTATAGAGAAATTTTGGTGAGTATTACTTATTAATGTTAAGGTTCTCCAGAGGTGGTTCTCTACACCTTCTTGGCGGTCAATTTATTATCTATTTGATGAAATAACTTCTTCATTAACTGTATATGCAACATTTTTGAAGTTTTTGATAACCTTGCACATTCCCATTGCATGTCCGCAAGATAAATGTGTTATGCATTTGTAAATTGTGCAAGTACAGTAATATTGTGTAATTAGAATAATGGCGGAGGATAAAAATTTGTGACGGTCAGTGCGTGATCACGTGACATTATTATTTGTAAACAAACGGGCTCCCCATGTAACACGTGTCGGAACTATCCATACAAGGTGCAATCAATCTTATATTTCACTATTTGATGATATTTCTGTGTCTGTTTGTAGGTTTTGCAGATCAGAGGTCATATAGTGTAGTTTCATAGACAAACAAGTACCATGATTGTTCCTGTTCAGTAGTTGTGATTTTTTTTTATAGAATTAGAAGGTAAGTCTACATTAGGGGAAAATCGCCTAATAAGCTGCGGACAGCGCCGATATGCGGACGGAAAACGAATATCTCACTTTTCAATAAAATTATGAAAAATTGAAATAAAATACATTGTAGATATAAGAAATAAGGTGTTTTGTTTACTATTAAATCTCTATTTTGTTGCAATAAGGTTATCATGTCTATATAACTTAATTACGATTTACTTCTGTGTCATGTGATTGAAATTGCATGCTATAAATTGCTTATGTCAACAAGCTTGAAAACCGGAAAATTTTGAAAAAAGTCCAAAGTAAGCGTGTCACATTCAATACACAGTTGTTCATGTAAGAATGGCAATTTATGTGTTGAAAAGCAATAGGCATTGCGTATTTTATGCAAGGAAACATTTCATTTAATTATTTTTACTGATTTGTCTAAATTTGGATTACAAAATAGGAATAAGCAAGTGTCCGCATTTTCACCACCGAAAATTATATGATAGCCGAAATGCGGACGCAAAAAATATGTTGAACAACTAACACGTGCAGTGGTGCATATGTCAATACCATGATGACGGAAATAAACAAAACTCTCTTATAATCTAGCATTACTAGTTTCAATCCGATACATTTATAAATATCAATAAAGCGTTGATTTGGGTTTATTTGTTTTGCTTTCATTTTGCATATTACTAACATAATGCGGTTACAAGTCTGATTTCTACTCCAGTTGGCAACTTGCACACATCTTCAATAGGTCAAAAACTGAAAACGTCATCCCCGGGATGGCAAGCCAATCTATTTCTCTTTCTTTACAGAATGTCTACATGTTTAGGACTTTTTGCGAAAGCAAATGGAATGAAATAGAATGTACAGAAAACAATCGCCCGAATGAAATTGCAACAATGTCTCGTAGACGAGTGGCTATTTGACAATGATGTTATTGGCTATTTATCTATGAAATTAATACGTTTATCAAAACATGAATATGTATCAACACTACTATGCGAAATTATTGAAAGTGATAAGGAAAATGAATTCAGCAGCATTGTGTTTATTGCTAGAAAATCAAGTAGAAGAGATAAAGAATTGGACATTCTTACTGCGGAAGAGGCAGATGCACTTATTGATATCACGAATATTCTTTTGAAAGAAATGTTTTTATAAAACTTTTAAAAACATGATAGAAATAATGTAACCAATACATTGGTTTTAAAGACCTCTTTAGACTTTTAGTAACGACTTTATGCATCCAGTCGTCTGTCTGTCTGTTTGTCCATCCGTCTGTGAAAAATCGAAAAACAAACGAGGCCCCTCATGGGGAGGTACCAGTAATTGCATAATCACCAAATTTTTGCCAACATAATCACATAATCATTAAATATTTGCTTTGGTAATCAAAAATTTATTTTCTTTAGTTATCAAAAAATCATAAACTAAAAGCTTTGTTATCATATAACAATTCAATCGTAAACTATTTAATAACTAAACAGTTTTTAATAAGCTCTTCCTCGTCCTCATCCTTCTCCACGGGTGAAACTGTTACACAGTAAACAGTTACACAGTATCACCTGCATCTTCCATATTTGGTTCGGTAATTTTCTCATGTGAACGACGTATGCCTCACGTTTTTTTTAAACCTGCATGGACGAATGAATGTTAGTAATTAATCATCCTTTGCACCTATCGTTAACCTGTTGTGTTTTAGACATTTCCTCTAAGGCACAGAACTAGGTATGCATGTTCTGCACACGCTGGTATCCTTTCGCCATTCGGATAAAATCCGATATAGAAAAAAGTATATATGTGACGAAATGCAACGAACGCCAATAGCGTATCATCATGCGTGACCACAATCTCCAGCACTACGTCTTTATTATGGCCTGTCGACTTTTGGCGGGTGCCCTATTATAGTAATCACTCTGCACGTCTATTCATCCGCCCGTCTACACTTTCTATGTCGTAGGATAACTAAAATTTACTCCGACAGATTTTAAAAGAAATTTTAGCACAACATTTAGTAACATTAGGGGAAGCTCCCTTTCATTTTTTTCTTACTTTTCATTTTCGAGATATTGGACTTATGCCAGCAAGACCCTTCATTGAGGAGTGACATGGGTCAGTATTCATAAGAGAAAATAAAAGGATGTGAAGTAATTGTACATGGGAAAAAATCGCACACAATACATAGGGGAAAAAAATATCAATGAGCAGGGCTTTTATTCCTGTTCTTCATCTTGACAGTTGATGTAGGGTCTTCAACAATGAACGCATCATTCATATCCTACAAGGTCAAGACAGTACTATTGATAAAAATAAACCAAAGTTCACCTTCTTGCTCCCTACCCGCCTTGGAGTGCCAACTTGTGCGATGCTTATTTAAAAGAAATAAATATTATTTTGGGAAAAACTTATAAATACTTATAATTCATTTATAATTCTTTCCTTTTATGCCATCTATGCTTAAAAAAAGCGCAATGGTGAATGTGTTCAACAATTACCTTAAATGGTGGTGTCTCATCAGTAGGTCTTGCACTAAAGTCAAACGACAAGATAAGATCCACTTGTCTTTGTGGCCTAAGTAACAACGGATATGGTGAATTGAATGTCAGTCCTCCATCAACAACGTACAGCTTTTTCATTGTGGTTGGAAATAGTTCAAAAATACCATCAAACTGATCTGAAAATACACACATAGATTTTGCAATAAAAAAACTTAAACCAACACAAAGGAAAACCAATCAAATGCTACGATCTCTGTGCACATAACACGTGTTGTCCGAGTGTAAAAAAAACCCTGCACGCGTCATCTTTCTAATCCGAGCTCTCGGTCATTAAACTTTACTCAGTACTCGGAGTACAAAATTTGTGCTCGAAACACCAAATCCAGGATTTTGATTGGTTGATTTCTGAGTCTGAGTACGAAAATCGTGCTCGAAATTTTTATGACCGCAAGGCCAGGTGTTTGACAGATCATAAAAGCGCTTACACGTTACAAGTATTCACAAGTATTGCACACCTAATCTATAGCAATTCTGGCTAATAGTACTTGATAAATGGTTGAAAATATTGAGTTCATTCAATGTATTGAAACATTCAAAGTATCAGCAAACAGGAAGTAGGTTTCTGACAGATTCGAAAGTGTTAGTACCTTGGAAACGTTTGATGAAACGAATGGCATTACAAGAGATTATAGTAAATAGTAAACCACTCTCCAGAAAAACACCCGACTGTTTTTGGTGTGGGTAGAGACCAACAATTCAAAATCCCCATTTATTCAACCAAATTTTGTAATTTTCACAGCTTTCTGGATATTTTACCTCAAGTTTAACTTCATAGATACAAAGGTATATCCTGAATTGCACCTGTATCACTTTTATACATGCCGATTTTCAAGCAATATTTAAAGTCTTGTAATGAAATACTACCGTTCGGAAGTAAAGTACTACTAAAGATAACATCTTGTTTTCGGGAAATCTTAAATTAGTATACTATGGAGCGCATTAATCCTCTAATGCAAACTCATGGACAAGTAAATTTGGCTCAAAATGGTCTACATATATTTCTCTTTCACCAAAAGTTTCATTTCTGCAAATTTGTTTGTTAGTTTAAGTAAACAATGACATCAAAAGCGCTATTTTTGTCAAGAAGGGCTACCTTTACATACGTTCTAAATTGAAGTGGGTGAATTGGTGGTCTGACACCGTTTGCTGCAGTTTTACTTAGTATTTTTACATACTCGACAAACAATTTATTGTCAAAAGATATTAAAAAAAATGAACAGTGATATACATGATAAGATACAGCATTATTCGAAGACTTGAATAAATCTTGTCTTTAACGAACGTGCTGTGCGTATGCCCATATCAAGATTAGCACATCGCATGTACCTAGTTTCCGTCAGTTGATAGGACTAGAATCGACAAATTTTATAAGGTATAATATAATGGTATAAAAGTAAATGAACGCTCTTTTTACCGTACAGAAACCATGTGAAGTATACAACGTTTACTTTATTTAAGAAAAAATTTACAAGTAGATTTTCAAATGATGTACAAAACATACACCAGTTTTATTGACCTTTGTCCTGTAATCATCATTTCATTTTATGGTAATTTTCATAAAGATATTTTCTTTATTTGAATATTTCATGCTTAACTATTTGGAATTGAATAATAAACATTCAGTATAATATATTGTCCCCATCTCCTTTGGTATTAAAAATAAGCTAGAGGCTCTAAAGAGCATGTGCCGCTCATCTAGGTCTATGTGCATCTTCAAAAATGGACACTTATAGTAGACAAGAAATAATTTATGACTAAAATCTTTTTTTTTGTTGATCTAGTATTGCTGATTATTTTTCTGTTTCAGCGTCTCTGTATCTTCTATAGATTTTGCCAAAAAACTACGGAAAAGGCTACAAATCGTCGTTTAAGGACCATTACTACTATAGGAAGACAAATGACAATTTTAAAGAGCCATAACTCCAATAAGGAGTTGACCGACAATTTCGACAATATTCATTAATTTGTAGATCTTCAATAATTTATCATTTTTGCTATTTACAGTTTTCTAGCTACCTATTATAATTTGCAATATATTAGGCAAGACACAAACAGAATTGTAAAACTCGTCATAAAAAGAACATAACTCTAATAAGGAGTCGACTGACGAATTTAGCCATGTTCACTTATTTGTAGATCTTGTTTTTGCTGATAATTTTTTTCTATTTTCTATGTAAAGTTTCTCTCTATCTATTATAATTTCAAGATAATAGACAAACATTTAAAAAATCCGTCATTTAAGGGCAATAACTCCTACAAGATGACGTCTGATACACATAAATTGTTTACCGGTTGTGTGCATATAAACTGTACATCTGTAAACCTGTATATAAAATGCGCATCCGTTAAGATGCATATAAACTGTACATTTATGAAAATGTATGTAAACTGTATATCTGTAAAGATGTAAACAAGTCTAAATTGAAAACAACGTTCAAACCTATGATTGCGTTGGATAAAAACCGCAATTTTTATACGTGTGCATGCAAAACAAATTTCTTGGTAGAGGGGTCTAAATACAGCACAAACAACATTTTCCGAAAGACAAAAAAAGTGAAAAAGTATATTTTAACAAAACGCATTTGACTAACAGGTCGAACAACGGATGTTCTTAAACCCTGCTGACTGCCATTGGCGATGGCCAAATAAAGGGATCACCAGATGTAACAAAATGGATCTTCACTAATAATTTAATACCAAACAGAAAACAATAGACTTGCGGAAAAGATGATATACCGCAAACAAAAGGTGCAAAAATTAGTACACCATATCCTGATTTCGACAATTAATGTCTCTTCAGTGATGTTAAGAATCGAAACGGTATTTGGAAGGCCATATAATTTACCTCAATTTAGGATAGACTCTTGAATTTTGAAGAGTCGGACGGATCATATAAACCGAAGGCAAACATAATACAAGCCCAAACGAAAAAATATAAACAAGTCTAAATTAAAAACAACGTTCAAACCTATGATTGCGTTGGATAAAAACCGCAATTTTTATACGTGTGCATGAAAGACAAATTTCTTGGAAGAGGGGTCTAAATACAGCACAAACAACATTTTCATAAAGACAAAAAAAGTGAAAAAGTATATTTTAACAAAACGCATTTGACTATATACACAATTAATATTCATCTTTACAAATGTTCAGTTTGTATGCATCTTTAAAGATGTGCATCCTAACAGATGCACAGTTAGTTTAAATGCATTTCAACAGATGTAGTTTATATGCATCTCAACACGTGTATAGTTTATATTCATCTTTACAAATGTGCAGTTTATATGCATCTTAACAGAAGTACACAAAGATTGGTTGTTTTAAAGTAGCTGTTCTCTTTTTAGTCATGTCGACCATATTTGTTGGCAGTCGGGGTCATCAGACAAATGTTTTAAACTAGATACCCCATTGATAATTGTGGCCAAGTTTTGTTAAATTTGGCCCAGTAATTTTAGAGAAGATTTTGGTAAAAGTTAAAGACGACGGACGACGGATGCCAAGTGGTGAGAAAAGCTCACTTGGTCGTTTGGACTTCATGAGACAAAAAAAAGTTGAATCTTAAACCTCTCTTCTTGAATACCAAAACTTCACAAAAGTTTTCATGAAAAACGAAAAAAACAGCAGGCTAAGTTTTCCCCTAAACGGATTTCTAAGATTCTTGCACTACCATTCTGTTTACAGTAAAATATGACTTAAATATTGTATGATTATATTCTGCAAGCGGTGTCAATAAGTCGTGGATTATAAAAATTCTAAAGCTTCGATTCAAAATTTTCAAAAACAAAAATTACAATTATAGTTGATGTGTTTCCCTCGGTTTTAGTTTGTCATCCGGATTTGTTTTTGCTTAATCCAATTATAACTATTAAACAGCGGTATATTACTGTTGCCTTTATTTTGCAATAAACACTTATATTTTTTTACACCCTCGGTACTATTCCTGTTGATCAATCAAAAGACCAATTACATTTCTAATCAGACAGTGACTTTTCTCGCAAAAAATGGAATCGTAAATTTTTAATTTAGGTCACGAAAAATATAATTTGCGAGAAAGTTCAAACCTCACTGATCCCGCTAACAAACGCATCTGAGACAATATCATCAAAAGGCTGGACTTTGTAACCGACAACACATTTGTCAACTCTAATGGATTTTCAACACACAGTCGACTTGCAAATGGATACTAATTGTTTACTTCCTGAAGGTATCACAAACCCAGTAGTCAGCACTTCAGATATCATTGATATGGTCATAATTATAAACTAACTGTTTACAGTACTTTTTTTTTCTCTTTAAAATACAAAGGATTTTCTACCGCAGGAATAGATTACCTTAGCTTTATTTGGAAAAAACTTTCTGACTTTTGGGTCCTGAATGCTCTTCAACTTCGTACATTATTTGGCGTTTTTAACTTTTTTTGATTCGAGTGTCACTGATGAGTGTAGTCGAAACGCGCATCTGGCGCACACACTATTAATCCATGAATCTATGATGAGTTTATTGGCACCACTACTGGTCTGCTTGTTTTGTTTTCATGTGAAACTGAAGTCAAGTAAAACCTTATCAAAGACAAAAAGCATCTTGCCTAAGCCATTCAACGCGTGCTAGCATTTTACCAATATCGGCCATCTAAGCATTAAGAACACTACCGAAACTTGGAAGTCTTCTACTTATCTTTATATTTTTTGTTGAAACTGAAATAGATGCACTCCTTCAATCAAGGATCATCGACATCCGTTATGATTTCAATTTCCCTTCTGCCACTTTCCTATTTCTCAGAAGTAACATAACTCTAAAAATCTGCCGTCATTTTACTGGATACCTAAACTTTACAAAACTCTTTATCAAGACCGATATATAACCGGGTCGTCAAGGCGTTCGACAAAATATCTTTCTAAAGTTCTTACTGTCATTTTTTCAACCAGCGGTGTAGATAATATGTTTTTTTCTTAAAAATTCTAAAGATCTACCTCAACATCTGTAATAAAATTTTTTCCAATTTTGCAGTTATATCAAAACGTTTGATTATTCTACTTATAATACAACCTTTCCCTATGCTCAATTGAAATACTGACTACGTCGTCTCATCAAACAATGTGAATCGTATATACAAACTCCTTTTGTTTTAGGATATGAAAATTCTTACTTTTTGAAGAACCACACTGATTCCCACAACAAATACACTGACGATGATAACATCAAAATGCTGTATAGAGATAAAACTACACCTATCATTCATATACATACACTATAGCTATTGCGTATCATATTTTAAACCGCAAGAGGGTATTACAGACCTTTACCCTCAGGCATGTAAAACTTCATCTTGAGCATCTTCCCCATTCAAATATAGATTCGCTGGTTATGTTATAAATGCAGACCTTTGCATCGTTAGCAATGAAAAACTTAGATAGTCGTTAGACAAAGGTCGGAAATATTGGATTCCACAGCCCATCAACAGGAAGAAGAAACTTCTGGTTACTGATTGAGATTGATGTAGTTCAGGACCAAGCCAGATGCATCAAAATTGTACACTTTATCTGAATGGGTCAACGCTGTTCGTCATACATTCAGAAGGGCATTCAAAATCTACGATGTACAATAAGTTCATGGATTTGTGCTCTTTGTGGATTCGAGCATCACTGAAGAGACATTTATTGTCGAAATGCGCATCTATTGCTGAAAAATTGGTACCGTTAATGTTATTTCAAGAAGCCCGAAGTTGTGGATGTTTTATTCTCCCTTTACGACAAATATGTTGATGTTTCAGCAGAGAAAGCATCTAGAAATGTTGTTTTAGTGTGTCCTTTTATGTCGTATTGTTACACCACTGTCTCAGGTTAGGGTGAAGGTTGGCGCCATATAAAACGTTCAAACCCGCTGCATTTGTTTGCATCTGTCCTAAGTCAGGAACCCCATGTTCAGTAGTTGTCGTTTGCTGATGTGGTTCATATGTGTTTCTCGTTTCTCGTTTTTTAATAGAGTAGACCGTTGGTTTTCCTGTTTGAAAGGTTTTACACTAGTCATGTTAGGGGCCCTTTATAGCTTGCTGTTCGGTGTGAGCCAAGGCTCCGTGTTAAAGGCCGTACTATGATCTATAATTGTTTACTTTTTACAAATTGTGACTAGGTTGGAGAGTTGTCTCATTGGCACTCACTCCACATCTTCTTGTATTTATTATATTAAATAAAAACACATTATTTGGAAAGAATAACTCAACAACTTGGAATTCACAGCAAAACTAGGAATCCGACATATACCCTACATCATTCATGAAAGAGGAGTTTTTTAAAACATCTCAAATTTCACCTTCTCTCCCTTAGTATTAAATAAAAATTCGTAAGGGTTCCACGGAAAACCCAGTGTCTCAACAAAAATGAGGAAGTAAATCAATGAAAATATTCCTGTTGATACTATCTTTTGATTGTAAGAAGCTTCTGTCCAAGTTTGGTAAAAATCCAGGATAGTTTATGAATCTAATAAATGTTAAAAAACTTTAACTGCAGACTGAATGTAATGTTAACTGGAAGAAAACAAAATTTCCTTCTAGATACTAGCATTTGATCATAAACAAGCTTCTGTCCAAGTTTGGTACAAATCCAAAATAGTATAAGAAAGTTATTGAAATTTTAAAAACTTTAACCACAGAGTGAATGTGTTGTTTCCTGGCAGAAAATCTAAGTCCATTTAAAAGTAAAATACGGAAAAAATGGATTTATTTTTTTTACAAAATTTCCTTCTAGATACTAGCTTTTGATCATAAACAAGCTTCTGTCCAAGTTTGGTACAAATCCAAAATAGTATAAGAAAGTTATTAAAATTTTAAAACCTTTAACCACAGAGTGAATGTGTTGTTTTCTGGCAGAAAATCTAAGTCCATTTAAAAGTAAAATAAGGAAAAAATGGATTTTTTTTTTACAAAAATTACTTCTGGATACTATCTTATGATCATAAACAAGCTTCTGTCCAAGTTTGGTAGAAACCCAGGATAGTTTAAGAAAGTTATTAAAATTTTAAAAACTTTAACCACAGAGTGAATGTAATATTTCCCGGCAGAAAAACTAAGTCCATTTATAAGTAAAATACGGAAAAAATGGAATTTTGTTTTTTCAAAATTTACTTCTGGATACTATCTTATGATCATAAACAAGCTTCTGTCCAAGTTTGGTAGAAATCTAGGATAGTTTAAGAAAGTTATTAAAATTTCAAAAACTTTAACCACAGAGTGAATATTTGTGGACGCCGCCGACGACAACGACGCCGACGCCGACGCCGACGGAGTGTAGGATCGCTATGTATCGCTTTTTCGACTAAAGTCGAAGGCTCGACAAAAAGGATGATGAAAATCTTTATACTGGATACCTAAACTTTAAAAAAGACTTCTTAAAGAACGAAATATAGATGGGTCGTCAAGAGGTTCGACTAAAAAACTTTCTAAAGTTTTAACCATTCTTTCCACGGTATAAGAAGGAATTCAGCAATATAATGACGAAGGATATTCAACCAGTGGTGTCAAACAGATGTGGATTCCTAACTATTCTAAAGATCTACTCAAAATCTTCAATCAAAATCTTTACAATTTTGCATTTATATCAAAACCTTTGATGTTTCTACGCTTTACACTACTACTCCACATGCTCAATTAAAAGATCGAATCCATTTTCTCATTAAACAACCAAGCCTTTTCTGCAGAAATAGGAAACGTAGATACAAATTCGTTGTTTCAAGTCATGAAAATTTTGATTGTGAAGAATCTAACTGATTCCCACAACAAATGCTAGTAGACCGAAGATGAAGTCATCAAAACGCTGGACTCTTTGATGAACAACATATTTGTTGAGTTTGGTGGAATAATTCAAGCATCTTGCAAAGTTCTGTAATTTCACATTAAGATATATTGATGATGTTCTGTCACCCAATAACCCACATTTCAATGATTGCTTACATCTCTCATCTCATCTATCCCAGTGATCTTGAAATTAAAGATACTACCGAAATTAAAAGGTCTGCTTCATATTGATATTGATACAGATGAACAACTTCAAACTAGAACCTATGACACACGTGATGATTTCAACTTTCAAACATTGTCAACTTGTCATTTCTAAGCGCCCGATTTAATACTTTACGCAACAAAACCTGCTCCAAAAGAGTTATGAAACAGAACGACTGAAATTGACGCTACATAAGTGTTATGGTTTCGTATAACCTTTCAATTTATGCTCAGAATGTGCGGTTGTTTCATCAAGGTATTTAAAAGTGTTAGTACAATTAACATTTTGTATGAGTTATACCTACTCTTCAATTCTCTTTCAACTTGTCCTCTTTGAATACTTTTATATCAAGGAATATGATACATTCGAAAAAATTTCCTACGGAAATAATATGTGTATTGCTTGTTGTAGGGTAATTGGAACAAATATTTGTATGACATTTGGAGTAAGAAATAGAAGAAGGACAATCAAGGCAATACCTTAAAATAGATAATATTTTGTGATTTTCATGCTTCCAGGATCTTTATCTATTCTTTAATAGATTACATATATATGTATATATATATACTGTTTACATAGTCTCTTGTCTATTGGTTAAAATTATTAACTATGATACCCATATTTTTTTTCTATTGTAACGACTTCGAACAAGACACACATGCAAATTGACGCTGAAACTGTGGTACTAAATTCACGAGACCGGAAGTGTGATGATCAATTGTGTTATAATTCTTGCCTTTATTTGAACAACAATAGTTTTTGAACTGAATCAATGAATAATACCTTTGGCTTTGCCAATATTTTCTTGTAAAATAACAACTAAACTATCTTTAGGGAATAGAAATTACATTATTATTAGATCATTACAATAAATAAAAGTACAATATACAACGGTTTTCTGTAATTGTTGGGTGTGAAGTATTTACCTATAGTTATCTGTAAAGCTGAGTTCAAATTTGTTTTGACAGTTCGAAATCCCTTATTATACGACTTAGCACACCTATGCTTGCGTGTAAGAAAATAGGTGGCTAACGTTCAAGGTTAATCATGTAAATCACTGTCAATACGTACATAAATATTGGATTATATAGAAAGCAAGCACGATTTCATACGTCTTGACACCGATTTAGCAATATAAAGCATGTAAATAGAAGTAACTAAAGAAATGTAGGATTAATAAAAAGCTAGAAAACAAAAATGTTATTAGAAAGCCACATGTTGGCGGAATTTCGTAACGCAAAATCGGCAACAGTCAAATTTGCCGGGAACGACGTTATGTTCACACAAAGGTATTACCGCGTTATTTAACGTTCACAACAAATTGTTATCAATGATATACAACATATCTCTACTATCAATAATATATTTTCTAAAATTTCAAATGCTAGTGGGATGTTTTGAAGAATGCAGAATGGAAAAAAGTAAATCCAAATGTATTAAATAAAAGTTATACATTGAAATATTGTATACAACTGGGGCAGTTGTGTTAGTAATATCATTTCATTTACCTGCGGTCTCTTCATTTATAGATGTAAATGGTGAGAAGGGATAAACTTTATACAGGGATAATCCTCTCATAAAGCTGTGTACTTTTGCAGCTCTTCCTTCTATAGAATTTATCCACGAATTAGCATCAAATAAGGTCCCAAGAACACTTTTCCAAAACGAATGATCCTTTTTATCGTTTTTATTCTCTTTCTTTGCTGCTTTATTCTTTCTTTTATCATTCTGTTTCTTGTCATCGGTATCATCCTCACTTTCGCTTGATTCACTATCTTCATCAGTTTGATTTCCCATATCGTCTAAAAGCTCTTTCTCTGTAACAAGATTAACAAGATTATGGTGTTCATGAGTTCTGGTGTTCCTGAGAAGTCAACATTGAAGACTTTAACGGTAAATATTGTTATATGTTCGAGGCTGAGCGTGTAAGTATGAATTAATTGCAGAGATTCTTATATGTTCAGATATCTATCAAGCCCGAAATTCCTTATTGCTTTGTGACATTGACCATACCACACATTTTCTCTTAGATAAATACTATTTCATAACATATTTATTCCTTAAAAACTTAAGGTCATGCTATAAAATACTGGTACTCGAATGGACATTTTCTTGAAATGGCTTACTGTAAACCATCTATTTTTGACAGGGGATTAATTTGTATATTAATGTATTGTTAAGTTTCAACAGTTAATTTGTATATAAGTGTATATACTTTATATTGTTATTCTGGTCATTTATATTTCTTTTTTTGATGCTATTGGCATCCGATTTTCTGGTCATGCTATGAAATACTGGTACCTGGATATACTTTTTATTAAAATGAATACCGTGAAACAATTGTTTTACGTGAGTAATTTATTTACGAGCATTTCACAGGAAGAAAAATAACGCAAAGATTTATTGTCGTGAATATGTAAAATTTGGGTCTCTCTTATATAAAAACATCAACAAAATTTGGAATTTATTAAATAAATTGATTATAAAAAGCTAAATGCGAAAAAAAAGTTTCTGTGAACATAGCTTGGTTTTATAGTCTTCCAAATAACAGAGTGATACACACTCAAATTCTGGAGTTAATTGTCTCTATAAGTGGCTACACGATTTATAAATACGAAAGCAGTTTCTATGATAATTAATTGATCTCCCCTCACATTTGAACAATTTGTTTCTTTCATCAATAGCTATCTGATTAATTTCTACAAGATTCAAAAAATGCATTTATCCAATCAAATCAGTTTCATCAACATTAGTGCCGTTGTAATTTACATAACCTTGTGAATTTAAAGAAGACAAAAATGTTCAACTATCCTTCACATAGATTTTGTCTAACCCTTGAACATAACAGATCAACATACCCATTTCTTCCCTTTCATCAAAAGATGAATGACATTCATTCATTACTTTCTTGTCATCTTTCAGGAGTCGTTTTAGTTGAATACAAAATGCACTTCCCCATATACCTGAAGCATAAAAATATTCGTAAAAATAGATGAAATTTGATATACATGTACCTGTTCAATGTAGCTTCAACGTCCTGTAAGATCACACAAGTAAGTTTGAGATGTTCGACGTCTTCATGTAAAAAAGCTGATCGAATAATAAAAAAAATCATTTTCTTTCATAGCCTATTCCTACATTAGGTTTGTTTTTCTTGCAGAAACGTAGATGATTTTCATTAATAAAACATACGAGTGTTAAGTGAAAATTTGATAGCTTCCTTCACTCCAGTGATCACTACCTCTTTCTTAGTATGACATACAAAAGAAAATGTGAAACATCTCAATTTTTTACATGTTGTTGTTCGTCTGTTATTAATACTTACAATACAATTCCAACAATTTTGTATTGTTTGTCTGAAACATGAAAATTTGAAGCATCTGTGGATCTATATGTAAATGAACTTATATTTCTCTAACCATCTATTTAGTGCTGTGTTTATTTAGTATCATTACCAGAAAAAAATTAGTAAAACACATCAAAACTATATGATAAGAATTTAATTTTTAAAGCAGTTTAAAAAAGAAGCTGTTAACCAAAAAAAATCATATCTTATTGTACAAAAATCATATCTCAAACGTTGTTCTATACCGACTAGGTTACCATGTGGAAGAATGCTTGTCTAGATATTCGGGTGGAAAGAAGTTGGTCTCAAGTCAGATCAAACAATGACTGAAGACTTGGAATGTGCAGCTTCTTTCCAAAGCATGTGGCATTTTTGATTAAGAAAAGCAAAAAATAAGGGACTCGAAGTTAAAATAATGTGTTCAGATATAATGGCATGTCTTTCCTTCAGAGGGCATGTTAAAAATCCCTTTTCAGGTGTCAGACTACTTAAAGAGAGTCTGTTTTCATACATCATTATGTATAAGCATGTTGTATATGCTACTATAAGTTACGCATCCATGACCGAATCAATTAATAAAGTTAGTTTCTGTGGTCGCAATCATCTTGGATGTCATATCGAAATAAAATATACATAGATATAGGAAGATGTGGTATGAGTGCCAATGAGACAACTCTCCATCCAAGTTACAATTTATAAAAGTAAACCATTATAGGTCAAGGTACGGCCTTCAACACGGAGCATTGGCTCACACCGAACAGCAAGCTATAAAGGGCCCCAAAAATTACTAGTGTAAAACCATTCAAACGGAAAAACCAATGGTGTAGTCTATATAAAACGAGAAACGAGAAACACGTAAAAACTACATAAACAGACGACAACTACTGTATTCAGATTCCTGACTTAGGACAGGTGCAAACATTTGCAGCGGGATTAAACGTTTTAATGGTACCAAACCTTCTCCCTTTTCTGAAACAATAGTATAACATCACAACATAGAAAAACACACTATAAAATATCAATTGGAAGGCTTAACTCAATCAAAAAACGTAAATTAACACACAATGAACGAATAAATTTGACCTGTGACACCTGAATGCAAATACACAGTTAATAAAAAATTACAAGGGATAAATAATTAAAGTCAAAAGTAAATAAACAGGTTGAAACAAAGTTAAAGTATGATATCACTGTGAAATTTCAAACAATTTTTAGAAAATCATCACTTTTGAAGAAACCTGCGTTATATTATACACAGGTAAATGAAAATAATTTTGTTGTTAAGTATAATTCTTCTTCTGTGTGTATAAAATCTTCCGTTTAGGAATACCAAGAAATTTCTTTAATATCAACAAAACTAATCTAACACTTGGTACATATGGGGTGAATATCAACAATAAAAATATACAATTAGTGCTAGATAAAACTTCCTGTACAGGTCCAAGAACAGCATCTAAGGACAAATGAAATAATTTTGATGTTCATAGTACGAAGAAGTGAAAATTTGTAGTAAATTAAATACCAAATAATCAAAGCTGGTATATAGACAAGATCCATGTTAACATTAAATAAAAAAAGCATTACAAATAGTAGCAACAGGTTAAATTAAAAAGAAAGTACGATTTGAGAGTACTCGCAGCTACTTACAGCTAGTTAAAAGCCAACACAATTAATAATAAAAAATCATGCATCAGAGACTAAAATCAACAAAAATACATCCCAGGGATTTAGTATTTTAACGTCATGAACAGTCAAAGAAGACATGACTTGTGTGGTAGAAGACTATCCTATAATTATTTATTCATATAACTATTCCATATGTTCATTTGTTTTGCCATATAATGGAAATTGTTGGCTTGGTAGGCATGGTAAATCTTTGATTGAAACTCCAGCCGTATTTTCTGGTGGAATCCACTGCAAACTTTTATTTCATTTGGCCCAGTTGTTTATTAGAAGAAGCTGTTAACATAATAATATAAACGGTACCAGTTTTTCTGCACCAGATGTGCATTTCGACAATCAGTGTATCTTCAGTGATGCTCGAGGCCAAAATATTTGAAAATCCAAAGCTAACGTTCATTACTGATGAATATAAGAACGACGGACACAACAATAAGAAAAGATCCAAGTGTGCTAACGGACAGTTTACACAAAAGTACACCCACTGGCCTTTTCTTTCAAGATCTAATTCATTATTCTGTAGAATATAATTATCATTTCACAAGATTAGTATCAGCATAGACATAAATACTGATATGGCTAAGTAGTATACCATACCATCAAGTATTTCTATATTTAAACACCGAGGTAAAACAAGTCTGGAATTTAAAATAAGAAGATGTGGTATGATTGCTAATGAGACAACTATCCACTAGAGACAAAATGAGGTAGATTTATAGAAGAATATGTTACCGTATGTTTATTGTGCAAAGCTTATTTGCCTTCTTACCTTGTAGGAAATGTAATGGAGGCTCTGGATGTTTTCGTACTAGTTGTCCCATGAAATATTTACTACCAAAATGTTCAGTTTTCATAAATGTTCCATATTTCGGTAAACCAATTTCATAAGGGGAAAATTCCATCCATTCTGAAAAATTATTGTCCATTATGAAATATTACATACATTTGTATTTTACAAGACACGTCTAACTAGTGTGATAAGTCTTAAAAAATTAAGGAAAAACATCTAAACCTTTTTTCTTTGTCATTATATATCTAAACATATAGTTATAATGACAAATACACTAGCTATTCATGCATTTGATAGAGAAAATGAAATTAATCAACTACTTGTACTATGAATAAGATGTTGATTCCTATTTTTAATCTTTCAATAAAATTTTGCATGTAGATTTGTATCTATATCAATAAAAAACGTTTTGCATTGAAACTCTAATATATATAGTTTTGATTGTTTTTCAAACCCAGTTATTTTGATTTACTCTTTGTTAATATCTGTCTTTGACGTCATTAAAGTTAAATGAAAAATACACATCGAATGAGCAAATATATTTTGGAAACAAAATTACTATGTATGTTCTTATTTTCTACTTTTACAAAAACATAATCCAAACTCACCATGGAAAATCATAGCAGAGACTTGTCTTTTTACATGTAAACATGTGTATAATGGAAATGGCACCTCTCCTGTTTCTATTATATCTTTCTGGTCTGTAAGTTTGGCATTCATTCTCTGAAATAACAAAAATTGTTTATAGTAGCTTTGTAGCTATTTGAAATCACCGTTTTGACAATATCATTTAATATAAAGAGAATGCAAACTTACGTCTGAACCCACTTTAAATATTAAAAAATATCCACAAGAAGGTAAAAAAGTGGGAAAATAAAGCTTAATCTCTGTAACTCCGCCCCCTCCCCCCAAAAAAAGAATGATCATGGAAATCTGTATTTTGAGTTATGCTTTCACATGTAAACGTTTTTCTTGTATTTAAGGATATCAACACATATACAACCCTTACCTCATGCAGCAAAGTTTCACCAACAAGGTGTCCAAAGAAATCAGTGAAACTGACGGGTTGACCTTGGCGTCGTTTTTCTATAATATTACTAACATATTTGTACATGCTCCGTGGTCCCAACAACAGGAAAGGACTAGAATCTATATTGTCTCTTAACTGTGGCTGTAATTCTTTTGGAGATTTCTTTGGCCATTCTGGATTTGAGTACAGTTGAGATAAATACCTTAAAATATAAACATTTTCCCTTGAAAATACACTTTTCATATACGTATATGTGAATAGTTTTAAGTCCTTAATTATTGTTTCTTCTCCTTTTGTTGCGTTTTGTGAAAATTGTTAGAAACAATAAGAAGCTACAAATGGGAAATTCAAAGCAATTCATATTGAAAATGGGTTGATTTAATTGTTGTTAAACTTGTAAAAAAAAATTTCTTCGCTAAAACCCGTATACACTAACTCTCAAATTCTTGAGCAGTGTTTTGTCTTTCAGAATTTGGATTTCAGGAATTTCTCTTAGCATCATATTCAATAATGTTTAATAATATTAAACACATTTATTATAATATATTTTGAATAAAATAATTGTATTGAAGAGTTTATTGCATACAAGAAAAAAAGTCAAAATATTGTTGATTCATTATTATTCGTGAGATACCAATTTTCGTGGTTATCGTGGGTACAGGTTGGTACCAGTGAACAATGAAAATGTTCAAAGACTAACGAATTTTCTACAGTCATACGCAGAATATGGCAAAACTACGAAATCAAAAAATATCCTCAAAAATTGCAAGTTTTACATAATCCATGAAAATTGGTACCAATGAAAATAAATAATCTATGTATTCCAAGTGCACTTTTCATTTCAGAAACATGTCGTTTTTTATATATACATATCTGCATTCGTCATCCTTTTAATACATACCATGCTGACCCTGAAAGTCCACACACGTATGTTGCCATATCTAGTATATGACTGTCAACTAAAGCGGAAAAAACTCCACTATATGCTGTCATTGCTCTAAAACCACCTCCAGATCCTAGCACTCCAATTATCGGTACCTGTAAATTTTCAAGCGTCTCATTAATCTTTCAAATCAAAATACAATCTGTTTAGATTAACAATCATACACTCAGCATATTGAAAAATAGATTGTGAATGGTTTGTTGCTGATTTGTGTTGAAGCAAACTTTACCCGGTATGATATGCTAAATTTCCATTTAACAGTAACTTCAAATATTCTTTGTCTGTCCAACAAGTAGGTTCCATACAGTAAGCAATTTATAATTCAGAATGTTACAGTTCAATTCTTGTTCAGGCTATAACTCTGCATGAGATAACTGAATCAATTTATATATATCATTTACTTCAAGCCATACCTCAACCGCCAATTACCCGTGAAAATATATGTGCACACAGAATTGAAAACAAAAATTCTATTTACCTCTCTCGATGATTTCGGTGCATCTGAACCCAACTGTTTTTTCATGCTCTCAAAAATTACTCGTTTTCTTTTTGCTAAAAAGACCCGCTCTTCTTCGCATAACGTCAGACTGAATCTGAGATCTGGCGTGAAACTGCAAATATAAATTCATTTGTACCTAGATACTAATAGAAAACAAAACAATCAAGGTTCTTTACTATTAATTTTCTTTAGAAATAACCCTTCATATTCTAAGAAGTTACTTTCTTTTACATAATATGTGAAATGATAAATACCACATCTTTCAAATGTTCAAGTTTGATCTTCCCTGATGAAGATAAATATAGAAAAGCGCTTCGGACGCACGAAGTTTACAAGATGAATTGAATTCAAACCAGATGTATTTAATTTTAGTTTGTTTGGTTTACTGTATTCAGTGTCATATTTCAATATCAACCAGTTTGATTTTACTCGAATACTGAAAAGATAAGGATTCCATGAAAGTTACATCACTCTTATTTCGTTTATAAATACACATTAACGCGCGTCTGGGGTACTTATAGCTACGATACTGTTGTCAGGTCATTAAAGATTGCATATTTTGGCGTTAATATTGATTCACTTATAGGGTCTTTGCATCGGCACTAAACACATTTGTTTAAAAACCAGTTGTTGGCATGACACGGGTTATGTTCTTCTCATATATGTTATGATGGTATGATACTAAACCCCTAACGGGAAGGATTGTGCCTGATATTCATATGATGAAGACATAATCTTTCAATCAGTTTGATTGATGTCTGGAGCTGGCATGTCAGTTAACTGCTAGTAGTCTGTTGTTATTTATGTATTATTGTCATTTTGTTTATTTTCTTTGGTTACATCTTCTGACATCAGACTCGGACTTCTCTTGAACTGAATTTTAATGTGCGTATTGTTATGCGTTTACTTTTCTACATTGGCTAGAGGTATAGGGGGAGGGTTGAGATCTCATAAACATGTTTAACCCCGCCGCATTTTTGCGCCTGTCCCAAGTCAGGAGCCTCTAGCCTTTGTTAGTCTTGTATTATTTTTAATTTTAGTTTCTTGTGTACAATTTGGAGTTTAGTATGGCGTTCATTATCACTGAACTAGTATATATATTTGTTTAGGGGCCAGCTGAAGGAAGCCTCCGGGTGCGGGAATTTCTCGCTGCATTGAAGACCTGTTGGTGACCTTCTGCTGTTGTCTGTTCTATGGTCGGGTTGTTGTCTCTTTGACACATTCCCCATTTCCATTCTCAATTTTATTTTGTTTTATCCTGGTATTTATGTTGAGTTTATTTTAAGTATTTTCTAAATGGGTATAAACAAATTGTAATAAAATACTAGTTCACTATAAAACAATGTCATAAAATTAATCCTCCGTCATTCCTTCCATTGCTTTATTTAAAATTTTTAACTTATTGGTACTACAGTAATGTAAACAGTATGTTTATTCGAATTTGTATAAAAGAATTAAGAATAGTTATAGTATTCTTCTTTAAGCTACAACACAGTGTCAGGTTAGATTAGCAAATAAAGGTTCATTCTTTGTACTACTTTTTTTAATATACTAGGCCAGAAAATCACGACCTTCTAGGTCATCACATTTATCAAATGTTAATTTATCGAAAATATTTAATTTTTTGTTGTTTGGCGAGGTAATGGCGCTTTAGTTTTAATTCATTTGTTAAGGTTAACCTCTACTACTGCTATGATCTTTCGTTTCTTTTTTAAATATAAATGTTAGCAATCCTACCTTGTTTCTGCCCACATTTCAATGTCGACTTCTGAAGTCTGTAAATAATAAATAAATGTTTTATAGTCCATACAAGATAATTGTTTTTTTAAAGAAGGAGAAGATATCAAAAGGGCAGACGAAAATCATATGTTGAATAAAAAATAAAACACCATGGCCTAAAAGAAAACGGGTGAAGAGTCAAACTACAGTTAAAATTTTGGAAATGATTTTAAATAAGGGAATATATCTCACTCTCGAATGCAAAGCCTTGATTCCTTGTCCTCATTTTGCTATACTTTATGTCCTTTTTGGTTACATAGGTCCTCAACGTTTGTATTAGTTTTGGATTTTCAAATATTTTGTCCTCGAGCATTTCTGAATAGAAAGTAATTGTTGAAATCCACATCTGATACGGTTATGTAATTATTCACAAATCACTGCACAATAAAGTAAAGATTGAATAACGCGAACCCCATCATAACCCGGTGCGAACTTAGGTGATGTTGCCTTTGGTAATATGACGTTTGGAATAAAAGAATATGTTTTGGTAAAATTTATCAACTTTACAAAATTAGACAAAAATACACATGTTATTCTATCGTGTACTTTTCATCGATGGACGCTCACCAAAAAAAAATGTTGCACTATTAATTAATCCAAAAGATCTGATCTTTAGAAATTCCCTAAAATTGAGCTTGATAAATATCTACAAGACAGGGACAACCACTAACACAATATCGTTCTTGGCCATACACAAAAAAAACTAAGATGACGGTATGCTAGTCGTATGAGTACTTGACCCTATCTACTATTCAGGTCAACTGATAAATAAAAGATGAGTTGATTTTTACGAGGATTACATATTGATCTTTCCCATGAATTTACACTTCACCATGTCGATGAAACAGTACAAATTAAAATTCAGTGGGATTCAGTATCCTCTTAGTACAAAATTGGAATTCCAATATCCACAAGTAGAAATTGGAATTCTTATGTATACGAATTAAAACTCTTTGGCACGTTGAACTATAATTGAAAATCGAAAAAAAAGTAAAGCTCTTTTCTCTTTTATTTTCTAAAAAAAAAAATCTAAATAAAACAATGTCCGTATTTTCATGCCGGTACAGAAGTAATGACTTCTGGGCTGGTGATACCTTTGAAACTAACAGTCCACCAGCAGAGGTATCTTCCCAGTGATAGTGAGAACGAAGTCCGTGGCCTTATGAATATTATATATCAATCAAACGGTACACATATCTATTTTAAAGAAAAATCAATGAATTGGATTTTGAGATTTGATGACTTTCAGACAATTTATGAACGTGTTTCGCCAATTCTATGATCTTTCTTTTCAAATGTTCACCTTTTTAAAAAGAATTCATTCAGTAATATTTTAGAAAATATAAGAGATAAATGACTTATTTTTTCGATTGTCCGTTTAAGTTTAGAATTTCACAGCTGTATGTAAAAACTGATAAAAAGCTGTGGTAAGACCCATTTACTATAACTTTACCTAATATTAAATTATTACAAATAAAACTCCTATTATCAATGAATTTGCTTTGCTATAGTTTCATGCTTTTCCACATCTCTTTAGAATATTCACAACAGTAACATATTGTAAAAGTATGATTAATTCTAAATACTAAGGATTTTCTTATCCCAGACATATAACCTTAGCCGTATTTGGCACAACTTTTTTGAACTTTTGGTCCTCAATGCTCTTCAACTTTGTACTTGTTTTGGCTTTCGAAATTTTTTGATCTGAGCGTCACTGGTTAGTCTTGTGTGGACGAAACGCGCGTCTTAAATTTTAAACCTGGTATTTTTGTTAGCTATTATTCGTATGTTTCTCTGTCCTATATGTTCTCCCATTTATTTGTATTGTAGTCCTGTCATGTAATGTTGTCATTTTAATGTAATATTTAACATTGCCATAAAAGCGGGAGGTTTAGCTAGCCACAAAACCAGGTTCAATCCACATTTTTTTCTTAAAATGTCCTGTACCAAGTCATGAAAATGGCCACTGTTATATTATAGTTCGTTTCTGTGTGTGTTACATTTTAATGTTGTGTTTCTGTTGTGTCGTAGTTCTCCTCTTATATTTGATGTGTTTCCCTCAGTTTTAGTTTGTAACCCGGTTTGTTTTTTTCTCAATCGATTTATGAATTTCGAACAGCGGTATACTACTGTTGCCTTTATCTTATACTTGTGTTTGTACTCATGTGAAGTAAAATTCAGCTAAACCTTCTCAAAGACAACAAGAAAGAAAATCATCTTGCAAAGTTCTTTAATTTCACTTTTAGATTGATGATGTCTTGTGAGTCAAAAATCATCATTTCAGTAGTTACATGCATCTTACATATCCCAGTGAACTTAAGGTAAATGTTACAACCGAAACAAGAAGGTCTCCAGCATGCCTTGATCTTTTCCTTGATATTTGTACACATGGGGTACTTAAAATTAGAAATTTTGACAAATGTAATGATTTCATATTTACATTTGTCAACTTCCCATTTCTCGGCAATAAGACCGATAACGGTACCATTTTTTTTTCTGCACGAGATGCGCATTCCGACAACTAATGTCTCTTCAGTGATGCTCCAGGCAAAAATATTTGAAAATCCAAAACTCAATTCAAACGTTGAAGAGTTGATCAAACCAAAAGGTGCCAAAAGGTAAAACCAAATTCGGACAAGGAATTAGAGATATGCATCAGGTAGATGTTTTCATATATTTCAAATGATTAGTAAAATTTCATTATGGCAAATTTCAACAACAAAACATAACCGTATCGACATGATAACGGTTCCAATATTTTCTGCACTAGCTGCGCATTTCGACAATTAATGTCTCTTCTGTGATGCTCGAGGTCAAAATATTTGAAAATCCAAAACTTAATTCAAACGTTGAAGAGCCGATCAAACCAAAAGGTGTCAAAAGTTCATGCCAAATTCGGACAAGGAATCAGAGCTATGCATGAGGGAGATATGTTCCTTTATTTTAAATTATTTCCAAAATTGTTTTATAGCACATTTTAATAAACAATATCCGTATTTTCATGCCTGTACCAAAGTACCAGCAAAGGTATCCACCCAGTGGTAGTTAGAATGATAACGATAAACTACCACCTGTCCCATCGTAATAGTTTAAATTTCGCAACGTATACGTAGCAGTCGTGCATCTTCATTCTAGCAGGAATACACTCCTGACACAAAAACTATTCAATCATATTTATGAGTAATACTTAATCGACTCTTCAAAAGTTTCACGGTCCCATCACGACACTGCGACATATTTTTTGATGTATCAGATCTTTAGGTACTAGAATAGTCATCTTAACTGTAAATTTATTAACTGTATCCTGATTGTGACATTTTGACTGAGTGTGGATTCGCATACATAAAAGGAGACGCTTACCGTTTCGACACACCCTATCTTGCCCCTTTTTGAGTTTATGCGATTCCATCAGTTTTTGTTATTTACCTCACTTTTTATCTTCTTAATGGATTTTTGAACACCGGTAAACACGGTAAATATAGTGTCCGGCTGGGATCGTGGTTTTTCGAGTGATTTTATCGTTTTTTTTTCGAGTGTGACCACTTTTTTTTCGAGTGAATATGATCAAAAATGTAAACAAACAGACTTCCTTTCTGGTTAAACGTGATAAAGTTGGTAGAACCCTATATACACGATCATAGAAGGTAAATTAGTATTTTTGATAAAAAGATATTATCAACCTCACATTATTTTGTTTGAAAAACGTTTAATTTAGCCTTACAATGCTTTATTCCAAAATGTAGATTAAAGCCATTTTTATACACATATCAATGGAAATGTCAACGGAACTGTGCACATGGAATCTATATATACTTAGATATACAGACACTTTAGAAAATTCTTGCTTTTGCCAATAAAGGAAATTTTGGGGAGTAAATTCATTTTTATATGTCCGTATTTTTTCGAGAGCAGTCCGTGTTTTTTCGAGTGTGTCCTTGTTTATCGAGTGAAAAAACTAAATTTCTAAAGTACCTTTTTTAAAGCACGAAACAATGCATTGAACCAGATTGATAATGCGGTATTAACACGTACATTCCATAAAAAGTCATCGTTCATTTGCATTCAGAAATCTTCATGTTAGCGTACCGATATGGATTTCATACAGTAAATATTTCGTGATGTAAACAATCTTTATGCGAGCTCAGACATGTTGGACTGAGACATAAGCACACAAAAAGTTGTGTGTAAAGCGGGTAAAAGTGTTTGTTTACAGAAAACATATCCTTAATGTTTCATTTACTATTTGTCTTGATGGAAATATTATCTTTTTTTTTTATTTGTGGAAAATTAGAAAATTTTATTATTTGGGGAATATTGGAGAACATTTTTTTTTTTTGGCAAAAAATTTCAAAATTTAATTTTTTTTTTAATCTAATATTTTTTTTTATTATTATTATTATTTTTTCAAAAATTTCATTTTTCATAATTTTTGCAAGAATGTTATTTTTTGGAAATTTTGTCATATTTTGTTATCCCCTGGTGAACTAGGGTGGTGTGTTATTTACACCCGTGTAATTACCCAATCAGATTGCAAGATTCTTGCTTCATAAGAAATAATGTTTTATCGTTCTAAAAATGGAAATAAAGAACAATGTTTAATTTCTCCTATTGTGAAGAGGAGACTGATCAAGCGTATTAAATGCTTGGTCACACAGTAATAAAGGACCAGAATAAAAATTGACAACGTATATTTGTGAGGTGAACTCATATTATATACACATTTATTTTTTTTCTATTATTATTATTTCAATAGGATCGTATTGGAGCTTACCGATTATTTATTTCGTTGTTTATTAAATACATAATATTGGACAAGTCCCCGAGTTTATCATCAGCTCAGTAGTCAGTACTTAGTATTGGCATGATTTTTAACAAACCTTACTAAAATTATTAACTTCCAAGGGGGACAGGGAAATAGAAATATGGTCACTTAAGTCCTCTTCCGACCGACCCTTACCAAAGTGGGACGTCTGTTTGGCTATGTGGGATGTTCAAGTACGCAGTCACGTCCGGTCAGAATGGGGCGTGTAGAGAGAGAGTGCTACGATCATTGCACGTTAAGAACCCTTAAAACAGCTCTTTCTGTTCATATCCAATATACTCTCATTTTCCGTGGCAGTCTAAATTTCCCGACCTTCATCCTGAACGTCTTGTGTTACAAGACCTACTTATTGGATGTATTGTTAATTTGTTCTCGTCCTGAACATGCATGACATATTTGCCACTGGACGTTAAGCAACCAACAATGAATCAATTGTCCGTTTATAAATTTAAAAAATTATTAAGAGGCTTAGGTTTCAACTCCATCAAGCAAAGTTGACCTTAGATGGATTTGGTTATTTTAGGTCCTTTTGGTCATATAGCATAAAATTATAAAGTTTTGTTTTCATTTTTTATTAGATATTCCATTCAATTCAAATGTTATTGTAATTTATTAATTTTTATTTTGGGAGGAAGGGGGGCTCTTTTAGTAGAATATTTGGGTTTATATTGAATTTTTCTAATTATTTACTCCTTTTCCTTAGTTTTCTTGCTCCTATGTTTGTTCGTCACTGTAATATATATCGTACTCGGTTCTTAAGATCGTTTTAAAAAGGACCCATTGATTTCTTATATATCGTAATACTGCAAATGTTTTCAGAACATAAAGTTATCATTAAATTGATTATTGTTAAATTTGATCAACATAGTAATCTGTTTTTGTGACTTATTAAGAATATATAAAATTGTCTTTCGCTTACAGTTACAAACTAGATAAAAGTCTGTTTTAACCCAAAGAATGTCTTTTCTTGATAAAACACGGACCAATGGTTAAAAAACTCGGACGTTTTAAATGTTGCTCTCGAAAAAACACGGACAAACACTATATTGTAAGTGAACTACAAGGAAATTCTGCGTCGTTTGTGTTCAAAACATGTATAGCATTCAGTATAATATGAACAGTCACGATTAAAACTATTATACTCGCGAAATCGCAGTAAATATCATGTAAATTCATTAAAAAAAACCTGAAATCTACACTCGAAAAAATGGACCGATTCACTCGAAAAAACACGATATCCACCGGACACTATACCTACCGTGGTAAACTACTGTTGCCATTCGTATATTCATCGAAAAAAAGTTATTACTTTTCTTACTTTGGGATATAAATCGTAATAAAGATTATGTATACATATGTGGTTACAATACCTTATTGAATTGTAAAGTTTTTGTTTCTTTATCCGTATATGGTAGATCCTTCAGGCTTATGATACACATACCAATAGTTTCGTCTATGGTATAATTAGCATCAACTAAGGAAATTTCTGAAATTGAGAAAAGAAAAGCATTTCACAAGTGACATCCTATAACTGATCTTGACATCTACCATCAATATAATTCCGGGAATGTACATACATTACGATAAACACACAACATTAACGTGATATTTCTAGGAGCCTGAAACGCTCATCTGACAAATTTCCTTATAAAAGCCCGAGCGAATATTACTTCTGACATATTTAGTTATAGATTTTTGTTTTCATCAAGTTTCTAAAGTTTCAAAATGTTTTATCTTGAGAACAGAGAACAGTTTTGAAAGCTGGTCAATCAGAATCAAAGGTTGCCTCATGTGGCAATATTTCTCATCCAATTCAAACCACATTGTGACCATTTTTATCTGTCATAAGATGATCGAACAACGCTGATGTTTTTGCGTGACAGTACAAATTACCGGAAGACACTTTTTACTAGAAAAATTCTAATTGAAGGTTTCGAGCATATACCCTCATTTATTACAGGGATAAGAGGGGTTTTACATATCAATATGATTAACAAATTCAACTGGTATGCAAATTTGCAGCAAGACTTTTTTATGGTCAATCATTTTCATATATATTGTCCAGATGTTCAAATGTAATTTTTTTATTTTCAACTATCTACATGAAATATATTTCGTTTTAATCTCTTTCATTGAATTTTAGCTTGTGTGGTTCACAGGGGCAGTTGAAGTTATTGCCAACACTAAATAGAGATATGTAATGAAGTAATACGTTCACATCTATTAACACCAATAACCCAAGCAAAAAATATCGAGGTCAAATATGATTTGCAAGAAAAATAAAAGTGTCCAATTCATATGTCAAACTCTGAATTTATGATCAAGAAGTGCGGAAAATATACATACAGTATTATCGTTTTTATTTTTAAGATTAGTGAACCATCAATGTTAATTCGGTCCTAATCTAATATCTTCTGGTATAAATAATGGTTCATGGAATATATGATTGATCTAAATAACTGTTGTTAGCAGTTTAATAAGTTCGTTGTTTTATTGAACGCAATTAATGAGAGTTAGTGTACATATGTATTTTAATTTGCGAATGACTGTACCAAGCTCATTGTTATCTCTAGGATCAAGATAGAATTGAAATGTCTCATCCCATACTGGATTCACTTCGTTATCTATAGTCTTGGTCTTCTGCAAACAGTTTGGAGATGTCTTGATATATAACGCTACGAACGGATCCGGTGTATCCACTGCAAAATAAAACAAGTTATCAATTAATGGTCTATTAATTTGTTTGTAAAAAGTTCGGTACTTTCGTGCAATATTTTTTTACATTACAACTTCTTGTAAACAGAAGTTTGCTTTTGAGAAAATCAAAATTGAATTTGCCAGTTGCAATAAAAAAAAGTTTAACATTTGTACATTTTTGTTTGTAACAAATTAATGTATTTGTTATTATTGTTGATTCATAAACTTTTAGTTTTTGTTTAAAACAAACACTCATAGATTGTTATGTTTAGTGCATAAAAGCATAAGCATAAAAGATTTATCTAAAGTCGGATGTATATTTATAACAAAACAACATACAATATATAAAACAGAAACCTCCTGTACCACGACGAAACAAGAAAACGTTAATAGAAAAAATAGTCAATGAATTTAATATAAAATAAGGAATCGTAAATGCTTTTGTCAATGACATACGGATACTTCTATAACTACCGCTTACTTAGATCTGCTGCCCATCCTTTCGTTATATTGTATCCTCTCACCACTTTTATATATAGTATTGTACATGGATAGTGGGAAACCTGAAAAAAAGGATTGCAAGAATCACTTTTTGTAACGAAGTGTGCTGTCGAATACGTCATATATATTTAATGGCGGGTTCAGAGCAATTAATAATTAATGATTACAATTTTTTATTCACATCTCAATTCATTTACTAATTACAAAATTTACTAATTATGAAATATTAATCAATTGAATGAATAACTAACTAACTAGGACATATTTTGTTTACCAATTTTTTTTATAATAATGACAAAAGAACTAAAAATAACTTGACATATACTATTAACATGATTTTAACTTCGAAGATTTTTTTTTAATCAACCAATTTAGATTTTTAATTGCACTGGTTTTTGTAACTGTCATTTAAAGGGGCATAAGCTACGAGATGTAAAAAAATCTAAAATATTTTGTTTTTGTTCAATCGTTAATGAAAGTGAAATAGTGAAATAATAATTCGCTTTTAGCAGCTAGTTTGGTTCAATTTTGTCAAAATAAGCAAAGAAACATCGCTGATCAATTATCACTTGCAAGTGAATAATTCGACCTCATTGAATCTGTATGCATGTGACCTTCAATTTAACCCCTTAGCTAGAATTGGGGTACGCATGAATTAGGCGTGTTCAGTTATCAAAAGGAAAATAATGTCTACACTGAAAGTGAAACAAGGGTAAACCATTTGATTGACTGATTTGATCCACAAAAACTCATTCTTATACAGGTAAACACGATGATCAAAATATATGTGTAACCTATAATATGAAATCAAACAGACCTAGAAAAATCAAATTGCACGAGTTCGCTGTCTATTTATATCTATATACATGTTTACATCGGGTTATATGACCGTCGGCAGTCTTCGGAGATCACCTCCATGGTTAATTAGATGGCGTCTAGACTAAAATACACACGAAATACTGATACATATTATCGAGCCCATGCACTGTAAATTGTTTATTTTAGACTTTTTATAACTTGGATATACGTTTTAGTATTTTATAATTCAAATATGAGAATTTGAGTCAAATCGGTGATCATGAATTTGACAGCTAATGCCCCTTTTAGGAACTTTTAACGATGGGAGTATAATAGCACGATTTACATTTAGATTTTTGTACAATATTTTTCCGTTGTCATATACTTTTGGTATTGTAAGTTACAGTGTAACGCGTCCTGAGTATAACATAAATAAAGGAGTAAAAACTAACATTTAAGCGCATGGACGTGTATGTGTTTAAAGTATTTTGTGTTGTTACCAAACAAACTAAATGGAAAGGGAAAGTTTAAAATACAATTAACGCTGATACCTTATTGTGATGCTTTATTAAATACATATATATCAGAATTCGTATGGATAAAATGAAAAAGAATGTATTTGAAATTTTAACAAAAAATTAGTGGTCATGTTTTGGCATGGACTATAGTAAAAAATAAATTTATTTTTAGTACTCACCTCAAAAACCTGAAAAGGATCGAAGCTGGAATAAAAGACATAAAATCAGATAAAGTAACAAAATAATAATAGAAATTGTAATTGATATGGCTATATGTAAGAAAAAATTTCTAATCAAGTTAAATTGTCAGCAGCATGTTTTCGACTTTCGTTTCGGTGATTAAATATAAAAACAAAAGCAAGTTCAACTGTAAATTGAGTAAACAAATCAAGAAAATCACATTGGTTTTGTGCGATACAGCATTTACTATTTTTTTCATTATTAGTCATTGGTGTACAGGTAAATCAATATTGCTCGCTAGAAGGAAAAATGATTTTGATTGCAACGTAATATTTTTACTTGCGAGCAGGTGCCAATTGTTTCAAAATCAAATCTGACAAATACAAATCATACTTGCCATGCAACACATTATGATATAAAAGCCATACAAATCGTAAACATATCATGTTAGGAAGCAAATGTTAGAACAACAACCAGTTAGAAACGAGGTCAATCTCTCAAAAAGCAAATAATTATAAGTGTACACAAAATTTAAAATGACTATATATATGTAAGTTGTCTAATTGCAAATGAAAATTAAAAAAAAAAACCATATAATATAATCAATATGAAGTATGACTATTAAAGATGTTTAACTTATAACTTCTACTGGTAAAAGATTTATAATTGTATAAACTGCACAACTGTCATACAAGTGGGAAGTTTAGCTAGCTATAAAACCAGGTTTAACTCAGAATTATCTTCAAAGTCAGGAATATGACAATTGTTTTCCATTTGTTCCGTTAGTTGATATATAAATATATATATATAATAGTCAGGCGTATTATTTTGTCAGGTTTCATGTACTTTCACCTTTTTGCCGGAATTTACCTTGGAGTTCGGTTTTTTTTGTTAATACTTTTTGCATATATGCAAAAATCATCTCCGACTTACGAAATGCTGTCGAGGATATGACAATGTAGATATTAAGGCATGCGATTAGTTTGAAAAAAATATTGCTGTTTTTAATGAATTTGAGGAAAATATTCAGTGAGGAGTATAATTATGTACACCCAAGCATAAGCTGGTAAACTTAAATCTGCAAAGAGAGAGAAAATCAAAATCGTCTAATTTGGAAAAAAGTTAAATCCAGTTTGAAAAACTAAAAACTAAAAAAAATGCAGGGCTTCACTCTTGGTATACCCCTTTAAATATTCCAATTTTGTTATAAACTTATGTTTTTCTTTATTTAATCCCAAATCAACAGGATTTTCAACAATGCGAATAAAAAAAAGGTTAGACCACAGTACGTTTTGTTTAAATTTGGATATTAAGAATCCATCCATTTAAATTATATGACAACAATATGAAGTTTTGATTATGAAATGTTCAGGTGTGTATACAACAATATGCGTTAAGTGTGCTTAGTGGTATATGAAATGAATGGTAAGTGAAAACTTTTATCATACAACTGATTTGATAAATTGTCATAGCAACTGATAAAAAAAATGAAAAAATTGCGGTAAGCAAATATTGTGATTTTGCGTTTTACCTGTAATTTTGCAAACGAAGTCTGCCAAAACTGAAAGTCAGAATCATTTCTATGTCAAATGCAACATTTATGTTACCGTAAACATATACATGAATTCTAAAATAAACTTATATTAAGTGGTAGGTGTCACTGGTGGAGCAGGAAGTCCTAAACTGTTTTCGGCACCTGAGTTCTTTTAGGTCTTTGCCGTAACTCGTGCTGATCAATTTTGAGTTTTATTTTCATAGTGTCTTGTAGACAGTTGTTTTCATTTTCGTCTTCTTCTTTTAATCGTGGTGTTATTTGTTTGTCTTCGACTTCAGGTATTCAATTAACCCTTGGGATCTTTCCCTTTTTTATACATTTTAAGCCGTATTCATTCACATTGTTAACATATGTCTACAGATGTAGATTTTATATATGTATTTATAACAAGAAAAGTTGATGGATCAACATTCGGAATCAAGAGGACAATACAAGTACATGTACACGACCAATCAAAAAGCTATAATAGGTGTACAGACAAACAAGAGCAACTATATAGGACAATACACGTACATGTACACGCCAATCAAAAAGATACAATATAGGTGTACGGACAAACAAGAGAAATTATACAGGACAATACACGTACATGAACACGACCAATCAAAAAGCTACAAATTTATCAACTTTTTAAGTGAAAGTCAAATGCAAAATGGAAAACTCCGATCAAGACAGAAGTTATTTCGGGTCTCTGCATCCAACAGAATAATATTGTTAAGGTCCTAGAAAAGAGCATATCTGTTGCATCAAAAACAGAACAAATTTTCATACAAAACGCTCACACAATTAAAAAATTTCCTGGCATTTTTTGGCATGCTGAGAGATACTAGTAATATTTTGATAGGCAGTCATTTTCAAATCTGTGCATGGGGATTTATCGTTTTCGACTTGACATATTTTGGAAACCGGACACCAAATATTATAATCATGCTGTTTGTAAAATCATAATTGACACTACGCCTTATTTTGTCTAATTTTAAAATATCGAGAAAACGGTAGCACTAAAGGCCTTACTATTTTATTTTATTTTCCATACTGAAAGGTAAAAACAGGATGAAAATACATAACTACATAATATAAACATAAATCATATACATAATAAAAAAGGAGATGTGGTATGATTGCCAATGAGACAACTATCCACCAAAGTTCAAATGAACTAGGTGTAAGCAATTATAGGCAACCGTACGGCCTTCAACAATGAGAAAAAACCCACACTGTATAGTCGGCTATAAAAGCCCCCGACATGAAAAATATGAAACAATTCAATTGAGAAAACTAACGGCCTAATTTATAACAAAACAATTTACGAAAAACAAATATAACAGACACGAACCAATGACAACCGCTGAACTACAGGCTCCTGACTTTGTTTACTTTGATACTAATTATTGACAACTAGAAATGGTAAAAATCGTAACAGGACGTGTTATATTTCTTGCCTGAAATAAATGTTCAATTCTAAAATTATTTTTTTAATCTATGAAGCAGAATTGTATTAAAAGATAAATTAATGTTAGAGGCGAATACAAACAAGTAATCATTTTGATATGCACTTGTGTATTCTTTTGTTGTCCATCACAGTATGCTACAGGTTCAGGATTGATATCTTGATTATTACATATACTGGTGTAGTCTGTCCTTACCAAAACTTTGCTGGTTTGTGATAAGCCTGTCTGGGAAAACATTATTCATTCATTAGTTTTTGTTAGCTTTGACCTAGCTTTCAGTAACTACGAGTACTCTTAGATCGGTACATTGTGCTTTTGTCTTTTTGTTAGGTTTTTTGTGTGTTTCGTGCCGACCTAATGAATCAAGCCCTTTCTGATTTTTTTACGATGTGCTATTACACCACTTTCCAGGGTTAAGCGAGGATTAAGAGCTCGCAAACATGTTTGAACCCGCCACAATCTATATGTGCCTGCCTCAAGTCAGAAGTCTTTAATTCAGTGGTTGTCGTTGGTTTGCTGTCTGGTATACTGATATTGGATTTTCGTTTATTGTTTAAGTATAAATCTGGTCGTCGTTTTTCTCTTTTAACTTGTTTTACAATTTTTCATGCTGGGGCTTTGTATAGCTATGTATACTGTGTGGGTTTGCTCATTGTTGAAGGCCGTATGGTGACCTCTTGTTGATAACATTCACATCCCTTGGTCTACGGTGGATATTTCTATACTATCTCAAAGTGTATGATGATGTTTTATTTTTACGATAAATATTTTTTTTTCGATTTACGTGAAAAGAAAAAATATGTTGTGTTTCCAATTACCTACTTAATCCTATTATTTCATTTAACTCACCTCTTCAGCTTTTATTGTCGATTGTAAAAAACAAGAAATTTCGGTCCGTTTCTGACTTGCAAAAAAAAAAGGTTTTCTTCAGACATAAAATGTATGTCCTTTTTATGTGCATTATGTTTGATTTACATAATTAAAAAAAACCGTTGGCCTGATAACAGTGGCGGATTCAGGTGGGAACTTAGAGGGCTTGCTCCTAATCACTTTTGATAGGCAGATAATATCAATTAACTCCCACCACCCTATGATCGGAAAAAATACCAGTTTACGCCACTCCCCTTTTTTCTCGAACCCTGGATCTGCCCTCTGTGATAATAAAAATATATATATATATGGAAATTTGAAATTCAGATTTCATCATTAAGAATTTGATTACATTCCATATCCACACTATTGCGATGCTTCAGTTACTTCCCCGAGCCCCCAAATAAAAAACCCAAACAAATAAACAAAAACAAAAAATCGGAAAACAAACAATAACAAAAGCACAAACTAAAAATAAAAAACAAAAACAAAAAAACAAAACAAAATGCAAACGACCTACCCTTTTTTTCTTCGCCCATGTCAGTAATTAATAAAAACAAAAGATTAGCGACCGTTCTCGTAACCCAATGTATGGATATTAATAGTTATTTCCAGTTCTAGTTTAAATCAAATCGTCACATATTTTTCTCAAAGCATTTTTCTCCTGCTCAAATAAATAAAACCGAAATACCTGAGATTACTCTGATATAACATAACTTTTAATGGTCAGTAATTAATAGACTTACCTCTCTAAGTTACTCATTGAAGCTTGCTACACGTGGCTCAATTTAATCTACAAAAAACATTTAGTACGTATTAATAAGAATATCGAAGAGAATAAACCTTTACAGCCGATTTCAACGAGGGTGTAGCTAAAGGTAGAATCTTTGGTTAGCTTCCTTGCTAGCTCAACCATGAAATCATTATTAGGTAAGGCACATCCAGCCTTTGGGTGGCGTCAATAGTTAAGCAGAGAACCAATCAAAATTAAGTGACAGAATATAAACATTGTAAATCTAGTTTTACAAGTCAGTTTAAAATTTGTTTTCAATCTAAATTTAAAATTTAGTGATAATTATAAGCTCATTCACAAGCATGCATGTTGTAGGTGTGTTTGATTTGCCAAAATGATGAAAAGTTAACTGAAAGCTGAAGTTCCTTATTTTTTTCTTCTTCGTCAGACATTACAAATAATAATATATTTAACTTGTCTGTTGAATTTGTTACATCAAGTTAATAAAATGTAGTTGGATATGATTGACAAGTGCTGACCGTATTCACTTTTATACATACACATATGTTTAAATACACCCGGACAGGTAAAAAAGATTGGAAGGTGTCCAAAAGTACATATGACCTGATCATTCAATCTAGGTCAGATTAAAACTGAAGTAGAGACATAAAAATTGTTCTTCATGGCTGCATCATTTATCTAAAACTAATAAGTAAGGTAATGTTAACGGACCAAGTGGATGTTCATAAACTCTGCAATATTTTCAATTCCAGACTGCAGTTGTTTGCTGGGTTTTTTTTTTCGTTGCATTTTTAACTAAATAAAAGGTCCACAAATGCAACCGTGCATGATATAAGTAGTAAGATATTTTTTTTCTTTTCTGTGCGAATATAGGAGATTTTAGTTCTAACAACTATGCATATATATGAAGAAAAGACACCAAGACCATAGCAATGTTTTTTGCGTGCTCCTAAAGACACTTATTAACTAAAATGCCTATTCACGGCGTAAATATTTAAAAAAAAAAACGTTACTCCGCTTCTAATTTATTGTAATAAAAAGATTTTTTAATTCAATCAAAGACTAAGAAATGAAATTTTATTTGCAAAGTAGTCTAGGTAAACCTTGTATGAAACATACATATATTATAAATAATAAACAGGCCATTGATATAAATGTTTTCATTGGATGATAAAATGGTGCTTTGCTCCTCCCAATCTTAAGGTAATTATCATTTCATGGTTGAGCTAGCAAGGAAGCTAACCAAAGATTCTACCTTTAGCTACAAACTCGTTGGAATCGACTGTAAGACATATAAACAACAGCGATATTAACCATCACAATACATCAGAAATGTATTCAAGTCGGGTAACGAACATTTTGGTAGGTGGATACAAACCCTTCGTTTTTCCAACCAATAAAGAGTACAATCCATATTTGGGACTTCTTTATTACTAACATGGCCTACCATAAATATCCACAGGACTCAAGACCTAAAGTTTATTTTGAAAACAGGTTAGTTTTAAAAGACAAGTAATACTTTTAAAATATAGAGGCAGTATAGCGATGTCAATCAATATTTTAACAGTATTTGAAACAGTAAGGTATAAACAAGCAATCTTTAGACTGAGTAAAACAGTTGTAATCAAAATGTATCCTTTTCGACACAGGAAAAACAACTAGGCATTTGCGTTTATAGATATACAAGGAAAAGTATTATTTAGAAGGTACTTTTCGATATAGACGATCGTTGATTTTAGAATAAAATAGTGTAATGTAGACTTCTTTAGAGAGAAGTCATACATTTCGCCAAATGTTGCAAATTTGTAATGACTTTGATTTAAAGTATCGAATCAACATCTGTTTGGCACAGCTGGTAGCTTGCACACAACTCTACACACTGGTAGCTAGCACACAACTCTACACAATGCATGGTAGCTAGCACACAACTCTACACACTGGTAGCTAGCACACAACTCTAAACAATATATATATGTCTTTTATTGTAGTAAAAACTTATCAAAGATACAAAGCTCATTATTGAATGTTATTTATAATCATTGATCAAATATTCGAAGTGAAAGCAAATGACGATAACATTTTTCATGATTTGAAGAAGATTATCGAAATAAAACTTGTACTAACGGAAAAAAGAAATTATGCATTTTTCAGTATATGGTAAATATTTCAAACAATAAATTCTTTACAATTTAGAGAAATACATATTTTCAGAGTATCCTCGTTTTAAACCTCGTCATGGTCCATGAACACACGCTAGAGTACCGTTAGGTGACATTGTCCATAGCGCCATATCAACGGTAGAAAAGCAGTTTCCAAACATTCGATGACTTTAAGCGACATCATTTTCGATTATGTCACCGGAAGCACTTCCCGGTTTTCGTTGAGATTTTGATGTTATGTTGCCGCTAGTGTGCACATTAAAATGAATCGATATCCGACGTAACCAAATCTAAACTTCACCACATGTGGCACCCGTCGTGTTATTCATGCAAGTCCAAACCCGGTGATAATTCGAATTCTGTAGGTCACATTCCGGCGGGGAAAAGTAGGACGGGAATGCATTTACGACGATTGCAACATATCCGTGAATTTATTTAATTAAAGATTTGAGGAAAACCTATTGCTAATTCCACATAACACTGACACAAAATAATTTTGTGCACGCGATAATTCGAAAATTGAAAATGTGCTCAGGAGTCGTGCAAAAATCCGTCTCGCAGATAAGAAAAAAATGTACACGCTTTATTATAAAAACATGAGTATTTTGATCTCTATTAATGATGACATATAAGTTATATCCCTATTAATCAGATTTTTTTTAAACTTTAAAATTATGTTACTTATATGACTACACTTCTTTAGTTGTAGTATGGAGTTTGCTGTTGTAACGTTCCATGTTGTCAGCGATTTTCATACACCCAACGATACCTTATTGTTTGATAATAGTTTGAAATTTTACCGTGATATCCGCATATCGTGAAAGTGAAGAGCATTGGAATCCATGGAAAAGTTGGAAACAATTAAGCCAAATCTCTCTTAGGCCATCTAAACCTGTAGGTAGAAAAACCTTAGTGTTACGAACAGGTTGTACATTTTATAAACCTCAAAAATAAATAGATAAATGATATTTAATGTTGGCACACTATTTAATGAAGAAACAAAACTCAACACCACCGACAATAGTACATGCAAACACACAAACACCCTATAAAAATGAGCTAAGTTGTTTTTTTTCTATTAAAGCTACCCCCAAAAGACTAAATAGGAATTACAATTGCAAATACAGAATAATTATATAAAAGAAGTAAACCTGAAATACTGCCAGCTTGGGGTAACAGATACACATTATCATATTGATTAATAACTGTAGTGACAATGTACTACTTGATATATAAAATTAAGCTGTGGTATGATTGCCAATGAAACAATAGAAGTCAACAACCAAAGGTCACGTACGGCCTTTGACAATAAACAAAACCCATACCGTATAGTAAGCTATAACAGGCCCCGAAATGATAAATGTTAAACAATTCAAACGAGAAAACTAACGGCCTGATTTATGTACAAAACAATGAACGAAAAACAGATATGATATACAGCAACAAACGACAACCACTGAAATACAGACTTAGGACAGGCACATACAGAATGTGGCGGGGTGATTACATTTATATCGGTGCTTTGATATCAATTTTCATGGACTGTCTAAAACAAAAACATATTCGTTGACAATTTGAATCCATGAAAATGCAGGTTTCAAAACAATGTTGTTTCACTTCTGCTCGAAATACATAGCTAGCTGAATTCAAAATTATATTTAATTTCAATCAATTACACTAAAAATTTCTTGTGAAGCTATATTTTATTCTAACTAGTAATAAATGTCATTTAGTCTCTGATGGATAGTTGTCTTATTAGCAATCATGTCACACAATTCGTTATGTCGGGGTCTTATATAGCTAGCTATGAGGAATGGGTTTTGCTCAGTCCGTACGGTGACCTGAATATATTGTTGCTAACATCGACGTCATTTAGTCTCTGGTGGATAGTTGTCTTATTGGCAATCATGTCATACAATTTGTTATGTCGGGGTCTTATATAGCTAGCTATGAGGAATGGGTTTTGCTCAGTCCGTACGGTGACCTGTATATAATGTTGCTAACATCTACGTCATTTAGTCTCTGGTGGATAGTTGTCTTATTGGCAATCATGTCATACAATTTGTTATGTCGGGGTCTTATATAGCTAGCTATACAGTATAAGTTTTGCTCAGTGTTGAAGTCCAAACGCCGACCTGTATATATTGTTGCTAACATCTATGTCATTTGGTCGCTGGTGGATAGTTGTCTTATTGGCAATCATACCACATCTCCTCCTCATTTTATAAAAATGGTAGAAAAATATTATGCGGTCATAGTTTTATGTGAAATTTAGTCTTAGTAGTTATAGAGTGCCGGAAAATCGTGATCAATTTAGCAATGTCATATTTTTTAAACATATAGAATAAAAATATATTGATGTGGTTGAATTTTAAGTTTACGTCATTCTTTATGGCTGATAAAAAAGCTTAAGGTATTACATCAACCCGTTACCGTACAACATGTATCACCAAGGTTTTCATGAGGGAAGGGCACATAATTTGCTTCAAAGATTGCATTTGGTTTCTATTGACATTCGGTCAATATGTCTTGTAATTCGTATTACAAAATTAAAAACGTATTTCAATCAAATTAAAATATTTTAAAACCACATAAATTTCTTTACGTATAATATATTTGCATTATTTTTGAAACATTCTATTCATTCGTCCAGGTATACTTAAATTATTAAAAGGAAAATATTTTGTTAAAGGACTTTTATCGATAATCTCAGTGATTTTAATTATAAAACTGTAACCTTCAACATATATGGTTTTCTTTAAGACGACGACACAAATTAAAATGCCAAAGTACTATACCGATATCTCTCTATCTCTCGGTTTTTTGTGTGTCATTGGGTTGCACTTCCATTCACACATATATTTCATTGACATACCGTTTTGAACTTAAACATAAACAGCGAAATGGTTTTTACAATACTTATTGACCAATTTCTCGTACCATTTGTACATAGGGTGATCATAAAGTTATAAACTCCTTTTCCCTTATTTTCGAAGGCTTCCTTCGCAAATCTCCCTTTCGAAAATCCTGGATCCGCCACTGTCAAGTGTGGTTATTCTGAATATAAGGCCGGAAAGATCGGCTGTTGACCGTCTAATGTTATTCTTAATCTAATTTTGTAAAAAATTTAGTAAACATTTAAATAATTGAAAATTGATACATAGTGAATATGAAGACATTGGATTCAAGAAAGAACATATCAAGCAAACAATACATTCTTATGTAATTCTGATCTCAAATGTCTCATTTCTTAAACAAAACATTAGCTCAAAGTATGCATATGCGACAAAAGCAAATTTACAGTTTACGGAAGTGATTTTGATATTGAATTTTCAAAATAGAGTTATTTTCTTATGTGAATTTGAACCGGATGTAACATTGATATGAAAATGGTATATTAGAATTTATGTGTCAAATAAAAAAAAAAGATACCCAATGAAAAATATCGCTTTAATTATACACTCACATAGTTATACCGGTTCAAGTATTCAGTGTTTTATTGCACGCAAAAATGAGACGCTTTTCGAAAGGGAAAGTAATTAAAAATGCAATATTTAAGCAAATGATGGATTACTTGTTTATTTCACTTTACTCTTGAGAAATGTGGAGGTATTTTATAGTAAATTGTTGAACTTCCGAACCAGTGATCCCGAATATAGGACTTTTAAAGTTTCACTTACATTATATCCCAGTTAAAAAATTATATAAAATAATTCTCAAGTTCAGACAAACTTTTGAATAACACCGTCTGAAGAAATAAATATAAATCTTGTATAGTTTAATCAAGATTTCATAGATTAGATTTAGGATAAGTAAAACTCCATTAAAGGATCAATTGTCTGACCATCCGTGTCAAAACTTGATAAAGTGAATCAACCATTTCACGAAAGAAATTAACTATACATGACGTACAATGGAATAAAGCCAGATGATATACAATTGCAATTTTAACAATTAATTTTGTTTATTGTGAGATTGTAAACACATCCGAAATGACATTATAGGTATATATCATTGAACTTCAAATGGGTTGGCAAATTTTTTTATATATGTTTGTCACGGTTTTTATTTCACTATCTTCCTTTTGAAATTTTGTTATTTGGTGTGTTTGGAGCAAGAGGGTAAAAATGCATGTAATTAAAACCTCAAAATATTTAACGATCATCTTGAAATTACTGTTTTATTTCACATTCTCCTGTTTACAGAATATCCTCACTTGCCAAATATGTTTTGCGTGTATAATTTGAGTGTATAATTCATTAAACATTTTCTGAAGGTGTCTGTTTAATATGTCATACGATAAAAAAAAACTAGCCCAACTGAGTCTTACAAAATCATGTATGACCAAATAAAAAGACGAAAATACAAAATGAGTCCACAAAACACTAAAGATTTGAGCAAAATGAACTCAACAAAAGCGCTCCGGAAAGAGACATTTGAAGGGTTCAACATTCAAAATTCAGAAACGAATATGTCTTAAATGAATCAAGTGAGAGCACAAACGACTAAAATTGTCGTCTGTCAGGAGGACGATTTTATAGCCAAGTTGAAATTTCTCTATATGTGATTAATCGAAATGTTCATGATATAGAGAAAACATTTTAAAAGTGAGGCGATAGATGCCAAAGGGAAATTAAAACTCATAAGTCGAAAATAAACTGACAACACCATGGCAAAAAAAGCAAAAGATCAAAAGACAAATATTCGACCAACACAAAAATACAAAAAATACAAAACAAACAAAGTTATATACATTGGTCCACGAATAAGACGATGAATGAAACAAGAGAGATTATATCATGGACAACTATACAGATTCTTTAAAAGAAAAATAATAAAAATCATGAAAGCAATAAAATAAAATAAAAACAAACAAACAAATTGAAAAAAATAAAACTCAAATAAAATCTTCATCTGATTTTGCACAATGCATAAAACTGTGCTAATTGTAATTAAAGCACGTTCTATTTTAGAATCTGAAGGTAGAAGAAATAAGACTATGATTTTTGCTGCTGTTCAGCGGCTCTTTTCACAAAAAATCTTAAGAGTAAAAATACTCGTAAGTCAAACACATTTCAGTATAACTTACGATCAATTTTAATCGTAAGATTTTTTGTGAAAAGAGTCGCTGGTAAGCACGCGGCATTTAGGAGTAAAAACAAAGACTGGTCGGCTCTGAGTCAGAATAATGTTCCCGGGTATGTTGACATATCTTCCAGCAGACTGTTAGCACGTTAGCTAGCATGAATTAACTAACTCAGCGTGTTAGTCTTTAACAAGTAGACGAACATGCCTAATGACTTAAAACATAAAAAAAATCATATCTTTTTGTAGATCATTTGAAAAAAATATTTATTTTGGCTAAAAATCATTAGAGAAGCTGATTCTGCATCAAAATTTATAGTTAATTTGAGCATATCACAATGCACTGTGTATTGCCATTGATAAAAATTGTAAGTTTTCCATAGGTTTATAAAAAATTATACATATTTCATTTTTTTACATTCAAATAGATATCTAGTTACATAAGTGCAAACTTTCTACAATGTTAACCACATTTATATACAATTCAATTAAGTCAAGGTTTAAAACCCACCATTAAAACATTCTAATTCAAATATCATTTTTAGTCATAACTTTAAATATCAATGTGCTGAAAAATATATCTATAAATGATTAAAATATTCATTATTATGAAATTCATATTTACTTACTACGGACTTCTAGTACGCAGTACTTCACACACTATATTTTTTGCAGGAGACACATTACTTCATATTTTTATTTACAGTCTATCCTCTTTGTTGAAAAAGGTTCTATCAAATATATCTCGAGGATAAATAACACAGGAGTGTAGATGTCCACCATATCTTTTCAATGACATGTCCCCGA